GAGGGAGAAGTGGAGGAAAGTCAGGAAGGCGAGGAATAGGTAGAGGAAAATCAGGAGAGAAGGAGGAGAGAGGAGGTGAAGGAAAACCAAAAAGAAGAAGAATTTTACCACTAGTAGGACTCAGCATCACCTTCATCTAAGAGTAAAAACAGATAGATGGATCCTCACTGGAGACTGACCTTACCACAAGATGGGTCATACATATTACCTACGGCCGGGTCATCCAGGTAATGGGTCACCCCTGGCAGGTGCTTGGCAATCAAAGGTCGCCCAGGAAATGGATCATATCAGGTCGTCTAGTGGAGAATTACTACCCTGGAAGTTAATTATTCCAGGGAAGATTTTTTTTTTTTTCAGTTATGGAGAAAGAGAGAACCAAGGAGAGAGGGCGTGAGTGGGGGGGAGGGAAGGAGAGCATCCAAAGAGAGGGAACGCTCCAGAGAGTGAAAGAGAGAAGGGGGGCCTCCAGAGTACACAAAAAGAGTCAGAGAGAGAGAGGGAGGAAACGTCCGGAGAGAAAGAAAGGAGAGTATCGAGAGAGAGAGAAAGAAGGAGAGTTTCCAGGGAGTATCTAGACTAGAGAGAGAGAGAGAGAGAGAGAGAGAGAGAGAGAGAGAGAGAGAGAGAAATCATTCCAAGCTATCTGTCAGATCTCTTGTCACTGCCATCCTCCAAGGCACACACTCTATCCTTTATCATGTGGACGTATAGGACACATACAGGTACATGAGTGTTTGACAAGTGCGTTGATGACGTGATAAGAATTCTGTAACACCCCCTCACGTGATAGGCTTCTGTAACACCCCCTCACGTGATAGGCTTCTGTAACACCCCCTCACACATGATAGGCTTCTGTAACACCCCCAAACGTAATTGCAGAATATAACAGTGTCTTACCTGCCCTACTAATGAAGAGAGTAGAGGGCGTAGTGTTTATTTTGACTCAATAACAACTTAAATAAGCGAAGTATTAACTCAATATTGTGTGTTTTTAAAGGAAGTTGCCCCTTAAGTAAGATAAAATATATGCCCGTCACTCCTCCCCTCGCTCAGTAAACATAAGTAAATTTCTTGGGAGGTTAATATTTTACTAATGTACACAGCATCTCTGAAACAATTACCTGCTGCCACAGAGTCAATATAGACTTTGGAGGAAACGATATAATTAAGTTGTATTGCTCCGCTTTACTGCGTCCCATCATACATGCATTTTCTTCCTTCTCTTTAAAAGGTTCATTACCGACTGAATTACCCAAATGCAGTGCTTTAAACTGTTGACCACATTTATGTCACTTGAGAGACCTGTGGTGTACCACACTAATGACTTCAGTCACCAAGATCCCGAGACAGCAGACTCTCTCACCAATGTTCTCAGAATGTGCCGGAGGGCTATATAGAGCCGCCAACTCTGGGGTCGGTCGTTTACACACGTCCCAGCTGATTTATCAGTTCACGACTTAACAGCTTACTAGCCGTTGGGGTGGTTGGTCTGTTCTTTGTTATGACCTTCACTGCCCGAAGTACCCAGAGACACCCTGCCATGTTTGGTTGGGTCACACTGCATAACGCCCTTCTCACATTTGACCCGGGCCTGGACAATGTTGTGGGAAGCACACGTGTTTTATATATATATATATATTACTCAGTGAAGTTGACAACATCACCAAGTCATTTCCGTATCAATAAAGTAACAATAAACATTTTCTTCCCGGAGGTAATGATGGATTGATGGTAACGTTAGCCAACAATGGTACTGACGTAATGTCACCGAACTATGAGTGGAAGTGCTTGGGGGTGTTATCGTGACGACTCCTGTAGAGAGCCGTCAGGACAGCCACACGAACTGATTTGAGGAGTCGAGAAGAGAACGATCACCGCCCTATACGCACATCTTACCATTGCCTTTTCATTATATTTTTAGAGATCATTTGGTAACCAAAACTTGAGCTTACAACTAATAGTTTCTTTCATTCAATGCCACTATACTACAACTCTGTTCCTGGCCTCAGAATACGAGTCCGAGTTTTTTATCAGAGGTAAAATTGTGATGGTAAAGTAGTACTTGTATGTGCTACGTTTACTGTCAGCTGTACTTAACAGTGTCCTGCGTCACCGTATTGTTAATTAAACGTGAGTCTAGGCCCGTGTGCACGAGAGGGTTGGTTCTTGTGCTTGAAGAGGGGAATCCCGTGTGCACGAGAGGGGGAGGGCACGTGTGCACGAGAGAGGGGAGCCCGTGTGCACGAGAAAGGGGGCCCGTGTGCACGAGAGGGAGGGTGTGTGCACAAGAGGGGCCCGTGTGCACAAGAGGGGCCCGTGTGCACGAGAAAGACGCCCGTGTGCACGACAAAGACGCCCGTGTGCACGACAAAGACGCCCGTGTGCACGAGAGAAGCACGCCACTCAGCCTGGTGGTGATAGGCGGAGAAAGGCACGCCTTGAACAAAGACTAGTTTAGCATAGTTTAAAGGCGCGAGCGAGATAATGACAGGAGGAACTTGACACCCGTGCCCAGCGCACCTGCTGAGCTCCTTCTACAGGAAAGAAGTTAAGGTGTCGTTAATAACTTGTTTGTCTAACATTAACGTTAATTTGGAGCTGGAGTTGGCAGCTACGCAACGTTAAACCTACACGTGAATTACTTCGCGTGGGCTGGATTTTTTACCAAAAGTAATTACCTGTACCACTTCTTTATACGAAACAAAATTGCAACCATGCGAAGTTGTATGGCATTCTGTCACCGATTTTAAAATTATAAAAATTTACAGGAAACAAAGCAGGAGAAACAACTTCGATAACAGTTGTCTGCAGGACGTAATCACACCCGTGTGAGCTGGAAAAAGAGAAGAAGGGAAACGATGGAGCACCTTAGCTTTCGTCTTTATTCAAGACATCTTCAGAGGCAACTGAAAATGTCTTGAATAAAGACGAAAGCTAAGGTGCTCCTTTGTTTCCCATTTTCCTCTGTGATTTTATCAAGATTTATCTTATCCATGTTTCCATTGTGGATCTACATGAAATATATATATATATATATATATATATATATATATATATATATATATATATATATATATATATATATATATATATATATATATATATATATATATATATATATATATATATATATATATATATATATTTATATATATATATATATTATCTATCTATCTATCTATCTATCTATATATATATATATTATCTATCTATCTATCTATCTATCTATCTATATATATATATATATCTATCTATCTATCTATATCTATCTATCTATATATATATATATATATATATATATATATATATATATATATATATATATATATATATATATATATGTATATATATATATATATATATATATATATATATATATATATATATATATATATATATATATATATATATATATATATATATATATATATATATATATGTATGTATATATACATACACAAGAATGTACAATATCTCACTAAAGTGTCTGTCCACACTCCGTGTGAAACATTATTTGACCACGGTTGATAGATATTTGGACATGCATTTACTTTGGTATATAGTTTAACATAAGTAATGCAATGTGCATTTATTTCGGCGTAATTAATATGATGTTCGGTTACCAATTATTGTACGGTCACGAGTTGCATGTAGCATTTCGGAAGTCATCGGACCCATCCTGACAGATACTTTTTTGAGGTACTGCACACTAAGTGTCTAAATCAATAGATAATATAAATCATACAAAAATTTCGTCTATCGTGATGCTCTTTTTCATTTCACTACATAGTTCATGCTTGTTTCATCCTTCATATCAGTCAGATCAATAAAATAAATATAGTCAACATGTCTAATATGCCTTCTATATTTTACTATATGGGTAATAATTGCTTAACTTAAATGACTTTAAAAATAAAATCCCGTTTTTCCAGACTGGCCAAAACGCAGATTCAATTTATCTCCGGAAATTTTGAGAGCATCTTGACACTGGCCCAAGAGAGAGTGGATCTAATGAAGGGCTCTTGTACGGCGGCTCAACAAACTCCCTTTAAAACAATAAATGAAAGCTCGGGGTGGTGAGGAGTCAATGCTTTAGTAAACCACAGTCTGGCCACTGCATCTTTAAGCCCTGGCTATTTATAGTGCTGCTGTGACCACTAGAGTTTTTTTAACAATGCCTCCCTGAAACTCTATGGGTAAAAGTATACAATTTTAATTAATTTTCCTGTTAAAATAGTAGAGGTTTTATTCCTCCACTGGTAGCGTAGTAACAACTAAGGCTTTATTGATTAACTTAGCAGGGGCGGATCCAGGGGGTCCTGATTTCCCCTTTCATCAGAACATTCCAATACTTTTTCTTTAATGCAGTATTGTACTCAGGCTTTTTTGTATTGAGAAAAATAATTGCTTTTGACCTCATAATATGTCCTAATGTCAAGTGCACATGATGTCCTAATGTGAAGTGCACATGTCTTCAAAATGGCCTCTGCTCGCCATGTTCCCCCACCCACAACTTCTTTGATATTCCTGGATCAGTTCCTGTTCAGTTAATATTTCCCTTCGTACTTCCGGCCTTCACTATCACAAACAAAAACTACCGGGTACTTGCAGTTTTTTATTTTTCACTTGTTGATGACCTGTTTAACGTCTGGTCTCTCGATCCTTACTTTTTCTCTTCAGATGTGTATCTGTTTAATACTTGGATTTCCAGAGTTATACGGTATATACAGGGAGCTTTACCAACTGGTGGGACCAAAGATTCTATGTATGATATTATGAAATCTCTTGGCGTCCCAAAATGCTTCACCTTCACTGTCGTCATCCCACAGGGCATTCAATGACATTATCCCGAGAGAGAAAAAGAGATAGAACATCCCACAGGCTTAGTGGCACTATCCCGAGAGTCACAACGCAGGCAAGTACAGGTAGGTAGAAGGTGATCTTGACATGAATAGGTTCCTTGTTTACCTCGAGCCACTAATCAGATGTTCTCATTACAGGTGAACATGAATGACATGTGAGTGGCCCCACACACCTGTGAGTATACTTGTGTACTGGCTAATGAGCACCTCCCTCACCTGCCTACATTTCCATTAATCACGCCAACGACATGTGTCTTACGCTATCCTCAAATGGTAGGGACGTAGCTTATGCATGGTTGGATAGTCACTTTTAGGAATGATGGTAGAGTGTATTTAGGAAAAGTAGGATTTGTTATCTGTGAATGGTATAAAAGGATGGGGGGAGGGTTACGTAGAGAAGTATTGCCGAGATGATATCAATATTTCAAGTATAGTTACCCATAGTAGAGCATAGTTATCAATTGTTTTGTGCAGATAAAATGGTAGCTCGTAGTTACGCATGGTAAGTAATTTAGCAATGAACGATTATATGAACTCAGGAAGGATAGGCGTGTGATTAAGATATAATCAGGGTTGTATTAAGGCAGGATGGATTAGTTATAAAGAATACTTAGCATGCGATTACGTAGGTTGGGCTCTTAACTAAAACCAACAAGGTGTAGTTAGGTAGGGTGGACTTGTAATTAAGAAGAATTAAGTGTAGTTAGGTAGGGTGGAACTGTAGGGTGCACTGAGAAAAATAAAGAAAAAGTAATTCAAGAGAAAGAGTGTTCGTACAGTGTCACGTGACCAGGGGGGTGAAGGGTTGACCAAGGGGGGTGAAGGGTTGACCAAGGGGGTGAAGGGTTGACCAAGGGGGGTGAAGGGTTGACCAAGGGGGGTGAAGGGTTGACCAAGGTAGAGACGAGAAGGAAATTGAATTATATTTAAGATTTTTTTCCTGTTTTAATTATGAAATTTTCGTCTGTTGTATTTTGGTAAGTTATATTGTTGGAGAAACTGTTATGGTGGGTAGTAGTGTTGGAGAAACTGTTATGGTGGGTAGTAGTGTTGGAGAAACAATGCTGTGGAAACTTGTTGTACGTAGTATTTTGGGAGAAAGTTGTGGGTTGTAGTGATGGAAAAATGATTCTGGAGTGTAGCAATGTTGGAGGTTCCAGCTTGGAGCTACTTATATTAGTTTGATGTGTAACAGTGTTGAAGAAACTAAAGTGAGATGGTGTGTAGCTTTGTTGGAGGAAGTTCTGGTTTGTAGCATTGTTGGAGAAACTGTTGTGGTGTGTAAGTGTTGGAGAAACTGTTGTGTTGTGTAGCAGAGTTCAGGAAACAGTGTTGTAGCGTGTAATCATGTAGAAATTGTTATGGCATGTAGCAGTGTTGGAGAAAGTGTTTTATTGTGTAGTGGTGTTGGAGAAAGTGTTGTGGCATGTAGCAGTGTTGGAAAAACAGTGTTATGGTGTTGTAACTGAAAAAGGTTTTATTAATACTTATTAATTCTATTTGTTTCTGTTTTTCCTTTTTCTATTCCTTATTTCGTAAAAAGAGGGAGAGCGGAGGTGGACACACACACACACACACACACACACACACACACACACACACACACACACACGGCCTCTGTGGTTTATACAGGTATCTAGAATGAGGCCAAAAAAATTATGTCAACCCATATAATTATGGTTTGTAGCAATTAAGACAATATCCAATGTCCCTTCCTTCCGTGAACTTGAGACTGAGTAAGTTGCTTTACGCATTTATTCATTCAAGTGTACCAATGTCATATTCCTTGAAAGGATTATTTTTTTTAACACAATTGCAATTTATGCGAGTCAACTAATAAAAAAGACAGCCTATAGAGCTATGGAACAAATCTGAGGAAAATTGATTGGGATTATTATTATTATTATTATTATTATTATTATTATTATTATTATTACAATGAAGATCTAAAGAATGCAGGTGCGTGGAAAAGTCGCACAGTGTGAAGAAGGTGGGAGGAGGTTCTTGTGGACTGCAAAGGGGTTAGTGATAGTCTCAGACTGAAGAGGGGTGTAAGAGGGTCTCATAATGAAATGGGATAGGAATGGGTTTCGTAGACTGAAGGGAGTGGAGGAGGAACTCAGACTGAAAGGGGTGGGGAAGGGTTCATAGACTTAAGTGGTCTTGTAGACTGGAAGGGGGTAGTAAGATTCCCGTGGAGTGGAATGCAGTAAGAGTCAAGTTGAATAAAGTCGATGGGAAAAGTGTTCCTTGGGGTGGAGTGTGGTCAAATGGACTAGGGGTGTGGCGAGACCGTGAGGACGGTCTCAGTGGATGTATGATATATTAAATATATATATATATATATATATATATATATATATATATATATATATATATATATATATATATATATATATATATATATAATCTTGGGAGGTTGAGAGGCAAGAAATAAACCAATTGTGTGAGGTGTGTGAGGTGTGTGTGTGTGTATCATGAAGATACTAGTCATGACTCATGAGGTGCTGCATGCGAGCAAACAAAAAGAAAAAATTTGTATAGACGTCTAATGTTCAGTATATATTTCATGTTGTGTGTGTTCTTCTTTCAACACTTTTTCTGTATTGAAGACTTAACTTAGAAATATATCTGTGTAGTGGATATATTTCAAGTTGTTTCTTAGTCTTTTTTAAGTGTTTCGTATGTGTTGAAGGCTTAATTAAATGTTGGTTGGTGGTGTACAGTACTGTATAGTAGGTGCTGGCACATCATGTCGGGGACAACTCCCTTCCTGAGCTAAAGTTAGTTCAGCAGTTAAAAAAAATGCGGTTATATACAGTATTTATATCACACACAAATACATGATGTAACTTTGGCAGCACTGCTGGATTTTTTTTATGGCTGTATTATATATGTGACATTACGATGCATGTACTGTACTGCATTACAGATTTTAGTATATGTTGCATAATGTTCAATGTATGTACAGTAACACAGTAATTTAGTATGCATGTGACATGTTATATGTATACTGTTTATGTATGTGACATCATGATACACTGCAGTACATGTATTATATATCATATACCTGTATGTGACTATTATACATTTACATGACAATCTTCATTTTATTATTTAATCAATAATGATATGACTACTGATTTCTGTATTCAGTGTTTAATACAAAATGTATGTGTATGCATTGTGTGTGTACAGTGTTTGTCTTTTGCTTGTTTGTTATGTTTGTTGTGACTGCACCATGGGGATATTTTTCATGTTTTATTCACTTCACCACTGTGTCAGCCTGTGTCTCTCATGTCTTAATCTTTGCTGGGTCAATGTGTCAATGTGCCCATTGCATAAACTTGCATGTACTATATCACTTAGTTCAGTAATTGAACTCTTGCTTTCAAGAAGAAAAAAAAATCCGGTATTTCAAATATCTGATTACAAATACAAAGATAGGTTATTGTTTGCTTTATAAATATGTTCATTCGTCCCTCAAAATATTCCCTCACAGCCAGACAGAGTTTTATAATATAGGTATATGCTGATAACCACAGAAAGAAGAAAACACGAAGTTCCCAAGCGCTTTCGTGTAATTCACATCTTCAGGGTGTTATCAGCATATATATATATATATATATATATATATATATATATATATATATATATATATATATATATATATATATATATACATATTAACTAATACTGTACAGTACAGTACTGTACTGCTTTAGGTATACTTTTACTTTTATCCTCTTCACCACTGATCGGCTCGTTAGCCGTCACCTTTTCGTTGGTGTTCAGAGTTCACAACTCTCACTCCGAAAAGTTGCCCTCACAGTTTTTCTGGTCTTGAAGCTTCTTCAGCCTTGAGCTGTTACCCCTTTCTGAGGGGCAGTATCCCCCAGATCCAGGTAATGACACTCGAATGAGTAGTGCCCTTTGAGATGCTTAAACACCTCAATTAGGTCGCCCCTTGCCCGTCTGTAGTATAAGCTAGGCAAGTTAAGGCGCTCCTATCTCTCAGGGTAGCTGAGGTGCCGAAGTGCAGGCACCAGTCTGGTGGCCCTCCTTTGAACATTTTCAACCAACTGACAGTCCCTAGTATATCTCGAGGACCAGACGGGGTGACAGCACTCCAGATGAGGAAGCACTTCACTCTTGAAGATCGTTACGAGGGACGGACCCTTCGTCTAGATATCTAAACGACCTTCTTATAAGACCTAATAATTTATTTGTCTGATTTACCTTCTTCTCGCAATGGCCAGAGAACTTCAGCTCATTGTCAACATACACACCTAGGTCCTTCTCACATTCATTCATAAATAGTGCAGTTTTTTCATCCCATTGGCACATATGATACAACTCCTTACCGTTGGTACACCCCCAGGTACATCCTCTTACACTTCGTGACATTGAATCTCAGCAGCCATTTCTTCGACCATTCTTGAAGCTCACAGAGATCCTTCTGCAGCTCTTCACAGCCCACTTGTCTTGGTTCTTGATTTCCCGAAATAACTTGGCGCCATCTTCAAACATTTGTATGGAGGAGTGTAAAGCGTGAGGCATGTCTATGAAACAAACAAACAACAGCGGGCCCAATACACTGCCCTGTGGTACCTCGCTTGTGACAGGTACAGATGATGATGATTTCGCGTCATTAACCACCACACACTGCTTGTGGTCATGTGGAAAGTCTGGTATCCACGCTAGGACATTTCCTCGAATTACGTACCCTTCCAGTTTGATTTTCAGCCTTTCATGGGGTACACTGTAAAAAACCTTGGCAAAATCTAGTTATATATTGTCTATATTACCACTCCATTCTAGAATATGGGTCCAAATATCCAATACCTTGAGCAATTGTGTTAAGAAGAAGCGCCCCGGCATAAAACCGTGTTGGCGATCCTTTACAAGGTTGTTTCGTACTAGATTTTCCAGCGTGGCATCTCTGATAATGCTTTCAATTACTTTACATACTATGCTGGTCAGGCTCACCTATCTATAGTTGTCTGTGGCGTGACGATCGCCCTTCTTGAAGGTAGGACTCACATAAGATATTTTCCAATCACTGGGGACTTTTTGTTCATCCAGGCATTTACAGAACAGAATCTTCAAGGGCTCGGCAAGCTCGTTGCACAACTCTCTTAGCACTCTAGGATGCACCATGTCAGGGCCGGGACTCTTATGGACCTTTAGCTTTGACAGTTTATTTCTTATACCCTCTTCTGTGATCACACTGTGGGTCAGTGCTGTGTCGAACCGTCTGTCCTCAAGCGCAGGAAGGTTAATCGCATCCTCTCTTGTGAACACCGAGGAAAAGAAGCTGTTCAATGCCTCAGCTTTATTCATTCCCACTTTGATGGATGAGGTAACCCAATCAAGTCAGCTTAATGTGAATTTGATAGCACTAATTTTTGTGATTCCATAAATCTTTAAAACCTGTAAAAAAGAATTTAATATCCCTTAAGTCTAAAAATTTACTTCATAAACAAGTCAAGTGTTAATTAGTGGTGAAGAGTCCAGCAGACTGTAGTGAAGTCATCTTCACAGTCTGTAACATAATACAACTTGGTTAAAGATCTTTGATGAGTAGGTGGCTCTTAGTGTAACTCTGTATTGTACTGTACCCAGGTGTAGGTCATTAACTTAATGTTTAACAAATGTCTTTGAAGCATATCAATGTTTACATATCATTAATTAAAATAATACCATAATCTGCATCCCAAGGTTAGGAGTTAATTTCAATGAATATTAATTCTGAGAATGTGAATAAATGATAAGCCTTGCACAATGGCCATCATCATCAATCAATCATTTCCAAAACAGTTGTTTAAAATTTGTTTGCATATTTTCCCCATGGTGATTTATCCAGGTAAAATTAATTACACCGTTTGTGTGTGCAGCTCGGTGGGAGAAGGTGTTGGGGACCCAGCCAGTGAGGAGAGTATGGATGTGTCTGAAGCCAGCAACAGCAGTGGAACACTAGCCAACCAGTCACCTCTCTCAGACCACATCCCCAACAACATTTACAACTTTGAACACGGTGTCCGAGACCCTCTACGATTCCCTATGCAGGTGAGAATGTGACAAACAACTCCAGGCGAGGTGAGACTCCTCAAACCATTTAGATATTCAACAAGAGAATAGGTACAAGTAAGATTCCCCTTGAAGGTAAGACATTATACTGTATAACTTCTCATGTACCACAGAATGTCATGAGTACAATTTGACCAATACAGATGAGGTTGTAACGTGATTCAATATTCAGTAAAGGACCAGATGTTCAGTTTTAAGTTTAAACTGAATATAACGTCTAAGTTTTCAGTACCTCCAAGTTCCCCACTAAGGGAAAATTAGGACCAATCATTAATAAAAAAAATAATTACTTATCCTTTATCCTATTTACCACTGATCAGCTCGTTCGCCGCTTAGGCGGATGGTCACGCTTCTGTTATGCAATGTTGTACTGGGCATGTACTGGTTCCTGAATATATCTACCTTCTGCCAGTGCTGGTCAAGTCTGGTCTTGAAAAGAGCTCACACTACCTTCTTCATGTTTCTGCACAGCAAAGTTGATCTGGTTATCGCAGAATGCTGTTACAGTAGTATATAAACCAGAGTCCTAACTGTTTGATCATGAAAATTTAAAAAGCCCTCATGCCTGATGTAATTTTGTCAGATTTGCTGCCTTGTTCACAAAGAATGCTGTGAAGAGGATAAAAGAAAAAGAAAAGTAACAGAGACGTGACCAATCGCCCAAGCGGCTAACTAGCCGATCAGTGGTGAAGATAAAAGTAAATGTGAAGGACACAAGGAAATTATAATACAATATTTAATTACCAATTTCCCCTTGCATGTGTAAAAATTATGTAATTTCCATTGTACATGAATATTATGGAGACACTAACTGAGTGATCCATAAGTTGGGTTCCTTTTATGCATATATGAGGTACTGTAGCTACCATGTCCTTCATGAGCCACTCAAAGTAAGAAATTCAAGCAAACTCGACAAGGCTCCCAGTCTGCCTGTACAGAAACTTTACTACTGCTGTTACTGTTGCAACTGTACCATCACAAATTGCATGAATATTATTTTATTTACATAATTTTAGTCCCTTGTGACAATACATTTGAGTCGCATCTTGCGCACATTTAACTGACACACATTCCACTTTAAGCACTTGGCATAGGGGAAAAAAGGGGCGCAGTGAGTGTAAGAGTGCATGGCTGGGGGAGATACTTTCACCCACGTCTCTCTCAGCCTCAGTTGCCGCGTGTACTGAACAAGGGAGGTTTGTGTTGTATGCCTCTACCCACTGACCCTTCACAACAGTTGCTCAGGGTCAGTTGTCAGAGACAGCACATCCCAGCAGAGCTGCGATGCAGTGTATGCTTTATCTTGTATAATTTTTCTTTTTTTCTTTCATTATTTTTCCTACATATTCTCTGCTGAAATCAACTTGACAATCAGTGGCAAAGAGGATAAAGTAAACATAAGCAGAGATGATTGTGTGGTGCACATTTAAACTAAAATAGGCCTAACCAGCTGAGTCGCCAGATGCGCTTTGACAAACTGCCCCCTGCTTCCACACTTACGATCACCTTCCACATGAAACACACACCCATGCTCTTCATAATTTTTATTTTATAGTGTTACGTATATTATATTTTCTTTATTTCTAAGTCACATTCGAATCTTGAAATGATGTTTCCATAATTTTATAGTTTCATTATATGTAACAATGGCACATGCATTACCATCTCAGGCCTCACAGGGGTGGGGATGACTTATGTCACTTCATCTCTGAGATGTATTAATGTTTTTTGTATCTCAATAAACGTATCAATCAATCTCAGGCCTCAGCTGACTGGCATGTCAGCCAGCTAACTCCCGGCATGAGTCTCAGAAAACGGACTTCTTTAATAATTATTATACTACTGTACTTTATATAAATGATGTGGCTTAGAAATAAAGAAAATATAATATAAAAACTCCAAAACAAGAAAGATGAAAAGCATAGGTGTGTATGTGTGAGAAGTGAATGTGTGTGTAGGTGGTGGGCTATGACTTCATGTATGATGTATGTCTCCGACTCACCAGCCTTTCCATCGTGTTTATTGTTGCTTTTAATGAAACTATAAAAGTTGTCAAAAAATCATTACAATACTGTACTCTAATTTGGCTTAGAAATAAATTATATATAATATATAACAAGAAAACAAAGAGCACCGATGTGTATGTGTGAGAAGTGAACGTGTATGGAGGCAGTTTTAGCCAAGGCCTTGGCTATAAACTATGTGACCGACTCGCCAGCCCAGTCGCTTGGTGTATTGTTACTTGTAATGAAACTAAAAAAGTTGTGAAAAAAATTACAATACTCTAATGTGGCTTATAAATATGGAATATATAATATAAAACTATAGAATACGAAAAATAAAAGAACATATGTGGGAAGTAAATGTGTTTGAGGTGGTGGGTTATGGGGCTTTAAATGCGTGACATGACATCATGGCATATATGACCATGGTGGCTGCTAGACATCTGAGTCGGCTAAGCTGGGTGATTGCCTGAACTATGTTACGAGCTGGATGCGTGGAAGGTATGCATGTGGAAGAACTTATTCATTGTACATAAATACTGCGTTGCCCATTTAGCAGGAGACAGCGAGAGAGCGGAGCAGTGAGCGAGGAAATGCCAGCTGTAGCCAGTGCCGGATTTAGACCTGTGGAGGCCTATGGTCAGCCTCTTTGTGGAGGCCCCCCTCATTATAACTACCCAAGAGGGTGGGGTGGCGAGTGAAGCGAGCCTAAACATTTGGGAGTTCTGGGGGGCGCTGTAAGCCCCCCAGGAAAATTTTGAAATTTGAACACTTCTTTGGAGAATTTTGAAGCCATTGCAGTTATATTGAGGAAATTAGAACATTGAGAAATTTTTAATTAACTGTATATTTATTGATAGTGTACAAATTCCCAACACACACACACACAAGTGAGACATGACTGGAGTCATTCATGTGGTTTCAAGTCGACCAGCCCTGATATAGCTACTACCGCACATGTGGAGGCCCCCAGATTGTGGAGGCCCCTGGGCAGCTGCCCACTTTGCCCACTCCTGAATCCGGCCCTAGCTGTAGCTCTCTCCCTCCTACCCTCAGTGCTTGCTTCTACACACACAATTATTAATTCCCTTTATGTTTTCGACCTTATGCTAACTATTTTATATTTTTGGGGCACACTGTGTGTGGCGCACATTTAAACTGGAATAGGCCTAACCAGCTGAGTCACCAAATACGCTATTGACAGGTATTATAACCATGTACTTTTGATTAAACTGATGGATTTTCAAGGAAAATTTTGACTTTACGAATTTTTGGCTTTATGCGCTCTCTTTGGAATGTAACCCCCACGTAAGATGTGACACAACTGTACTGTACATCAAATATTTCCACTATAAAAACATGACAGCACTCCTTGTCATCATCAGAACGGACGACTCGTTGGTGCCGCTGTGGAGGGTGGCGCGACCCCTCCAGGTGTAGGGGCAGCCGCCGCCGCACCACCTTCTGGAGGGCGCAAACCTTCACCCTTCAATCTCTCTCACCTTGAATACACTTTACCCGACACTGAAATATATGAACCTGAGACAGGTACTAATACGGTTTCTACTTTGAGTAAATGTTATTAGCTTGGTAGATATTCATCATTTCAACTGCCTTCATATCCACCCAAATGTGTATTCCTTCTCAGGTGTTTGTTTACTTCATAGAAAATTATACAGTATAATTTATCTGACAGGAAATATTATATCCTGTAAAAGCAAAATACATACTATAGTACAGTACTTGAGAAAAAATGATTGAACTGTCATTGTTGGGTGGCTATGAAGTAACAATTATCACACCTATTACTTTACTGTTGACTTATGAGATGTAATCTTCTTATGAGAAAATTAGTTTCTATTCACTATCATCAGTACAACTGTAGCCAAATGTACACGTAATCAATTATAGTAGTGTCCTGATATTAGATGTAGTCAATAAATCATTATATATATATATTGGAGATCCTAGATAAGACACTGAAAATAAAATCCTGCACAACCCTAAATTAAAAATAAATAAAATAAATAAAAATATAAAAGGTTCAGTTTAAGGATTTCAATCCCTGCTATACTGTACAGTACAGTAATTGAAATTTTTTTTCTAATCTTTCCTTGCAAAAAGTACATTTGGTCTACAAGAGGTGAGCCTTAAACCTCCTACTACAGACAATGCAGGGCAGAATGACCATGTCCTACACGTGCAAGAAATTATATATACAGTATGGAGAGTTCAGTACGAGTGAGGCATAGGTGAAGGGTTGTGCAATATTGGTCTGAAGAGCATGATAATCAGGTGAGTTTGCTGCTGATGATAATATGGGCAGAGATGATGAATCTTCTATGCAGAGTGAGCTGTGTGAAAGATGGTTGAAAGTTAATTACTCTGCAAAACTGTTGAGGATTGGATATGAAGTTTTGGCAAAGCTTTCGGAAAATGCATTAGTGGAGATAACTACAAAGCTATATGAAATGTAAAGAAAGGTTTTAGAATGAGATTATAGGTGAACAAAAATGATACAGTGACGAGCAGAAGTGACATGGCTGTGTGATTTGATTGTTTCCTGATACAACTGGGTACCTGTTATTCTTATACATTACTATGGGAGGAAGAGAACAGGCAGGTTTTGAAGCCGAGAGATAAGTGCTTCGCATATCTAAGTTGTGACCAAGGATTTCATTTGTTTCTTCAATATATGATACAGCTCTGCTGCAGTGAGGATGTAACAGATATGAGAGAAAAGTGGTGGTAGTAAACATACAGTATGTTGAGGATGTGAGTAACCACAAGGAAATGTAAGGACTTCAAGATAAGTAGAATACAATGTAGTAGTATGAGGGTAGAAAAAATCGAATGGAAAGTAGGTGTGCAACGTGTCCATAAGCACCTTGTCTGATGTACTGTTCCAACTATTTCGCTCCTCCCCTGTTGTTGCATCAGTGGACTTCCCAAACTCCCCTACTGCCCTCCGTTACTTGGTGCACCCTGACGATGAGTGTGCCGGTGTGCGTCTAGCAGAAAGAGAGGAAACCACACAGCCACCTGTGACACCCACAGAAGAAGATCGATCCATGTACACTGCTGTGGTCTCTCCGCCCACCGGTCAGGTTACGCTCAGGAAAGGTAGGCTGACAGAACTTGTTGTTTTGTTGTCATACTTTTTGAGTAAATATTTGTGTAGCTTGAGGTTTTTATATGTTGAGGTAATTAGGGTAGTTACTAACACATGCCATTCTAAATATGTAAGGAAAGCCACTACAGTATTCGGGAAAATGGTAATGTATATTTGTTCTGTTATTTCTCAAATTGACGAATAATGTTGAAGTACTGTATTCATGGTCAGTTAGGCAAATACTGTATCATTACACAAACTTAATCATACTTATTTACACCTCACATATAAAGTTTTAAGATGAAACTAATCTAACAATTATCACTTAATTCTGCCAAATGTTACACTCAGAACCGGATATCATCAGTTATCAGACATTGTACAATATATTACTTGAAAAATACTTCATGTGTTGTCACAATTCATTATACAATACAGTATTTAAAATTGAATTAAAAAAAAAACAATAATATTCATCTTTGTTTTAACAGAAATGGAATATTTTACAAATGGTGAGATCCTTCTTCATGTATTTATTTTAAACATCTCTCAGTTCTAAGGGATTGTCAGCATATATTGTAGTGAGTGAGAGAATTATTTTTATGGGGAATTAGCAGAGATTATACTGTAATGTTAAAATAAATGACTCGTGTAACAAGATTCCTTATAAACAACAGTTTACATTATTTAACCATTCACTGTCTACGTGTTACCTCTTCTCTCCCAAATCCTCACATGATAAATTTACTACCAATGAGTTCGTGAAAGTTTATGGGAATAGTAACTGAATTATACATCATTCACCCTATTTGCTACTGTACATGTCATGCTCTCTGTTTATACATCACACACACTACATACATCCTTCATTCCTTATACTGTACTGGTAGATCCCAGTAAGGTCAACACATCACTATTATTCATTAGTTGTTATCTCTCCTCAGAACGTCCCTCCACCCTAGAAGTAAACCGAAAGAAGCGTCTCACAGTGACCGAGGAATTGTTAACAGTGGCCGTCGATGATGACCAGCACTCCATCTCATCTCTTAGTCAACACAGTGATGATGAGGATGACGATGCTCAGATGCTCTCTCACGATGAGTTCACAGACATGCTCACACCAGATGATATTGATACCCCAGATGAGTTGGAAGAATCCATAATGGAGAGTGAGTCTGAACCTAGTACTCTTCCCTGGTGCATGGGAGAAAGATACAGTCTTGTCACTTGTCAGTCAATCTCTTTCTGTTCATCACTTCTGTCACTCCATATGATACCATCCAACCTTTACTGTATATCAAGTCGCTCCAACACTTTTGTTAGTCTATTCTAGCTATACAGTACCTGTATTGTCTAACTTTTGTGTCAAACATCTTCATATTCTACTGTAAAGTTCCAAAACATGATTCATTTTATTCTATCAATTATTTATTATATTAAGTGATATCCCAAATTACACTAACCAACACTGAAGTTATATCATATCAGACTGAAAATATTTTTCATTGGGGTATGTCAGCCCTAACTCCTCAGCCACATTCTTGTTTATTTCAAAGCAGGAAAATTATTTCTCAAATAAACATTGTCTAAAACTTTCAGTTTACATGTGTACTCTCACCTTACAGTATTAAATACCCACAAATATTTAACATATAAAATGTTTACCTGTGTTTTGCACTCAGTTCCTCCCTAATTATATTGACCAATTAGGTGTTGATTTTCAGGCTAGAATGAAGTTTCTTTTCTTTCACTTTGCTTACTGTATCCATTAATTTTGTTCAGGGCTTGGTCCTCAGCCAAGGATAGACCCCGTCCCTGAATACACAGCAACACAGGTAACCAGAGAGGAGAGGTCATGGCGGTCTGTTGTCATCTCTGGGATTGAGAGACGAATTGATATGAAGGTTAGTGTTGGATATTAATAGTGAGTATGTGTCGTCAGCATGGCACTCAACCACACTTCACCTCCTCAATTGTAGGGCTAGATACATATATACAACCTAATCATCTGTAGCACTCGGCTCTACCAAGAATGGTCGAAGAAATGGCTGCTGAGATTCAATGTCACGAAGTGTAAGAGGATGCACCTGGGGCGTACCAACAGTAAGGAAGCGTATCATATGTCCCAACGGGATGAAGAAACTGCACTATTTGAGACTAGGTGTGTATGTTGACAATGAGCTGAAGTTCTCGGGCCATTGTGAGAAAAAGGTAAATCAGGCAAATAAATTATTGGGCCTTACAAGAAGGTCGTTCAGATATCTAGACGGTCTGTCCCTCGTAACGATCTTCAAAAGTGAAGTGCTTCCCCATCTGGAGTGCTGTCATCCCCGTCTGGTCCTCGAGATATGCTGTCGCCTTCATTGACTTCACTAAGGCATTCGACCTAGTCGACCACAATTTAATCATCAACAAAGCTATCGACCTCGGGTTTCGAAGAAGTCTTATACCATGGCTTACAGACTTCCTCAGTAACCGACGCCAAGCTGTACACTTCCGAGGGGTTGTCTCCTGCTTTCAGTCACTCACCTGTGGCGTCCCCCAAGGCACCAAGATGGGACCACTATGCTTCCTTATGCTTATCATTGATGCCCTAAGAGAAACCCCTGCTCGCTGGAAATATGTCGACGACTCCACCATTGGAATCAGCGTCAACAATTCTGCTCCCAACTATACTGCCCTTCAGGATTTATTGAACAGTCTCCAAAACTGGGCCACCAACAAACGCATCACCATCAACCATACCAAGACCATGGTTATGCACATCAACCTCTCCTCCAACGTTGTCCCACCCCCCTCCATTACTTTAGGTCCCAACACACTCCAGGTTGTAGATTCCACTAAGCTCCTCGGCGTCACCATAGACAACAAACTAAATTGGAAACCACACGTCAGTGAAGTTGTCAAATCCTCCAGTTTCCGTCTCCACCTCCTCCGCTGACTCAAGTCCCTTGGAGTTCCTGCCCCTGAGCTCCTCAGTGTTTACTCAACATTTATACTTCCCAAGCTCACCTATGCCTCCCCTACTTGGTCTCCCTCCCTAAATGCCACACAATGTAAACACCTAGAAAAAGTGCAAAAGAGGGCATGCAAGATTATTCTCTCCCCTTCCTACTCCACATACTGTATCAAGAAGCACTCAACACACAGGTCCTCTCGGCTCTCACTGACCATCACCACGACCTCATCTGCAAATTTGGTGAAGCTTCTGCACCATCCTCGACACCGGCTACTACTACAACCCGAGATCCCTCGCCCAAGAATTGCTGTTCGACACCACAACCATATCCAGCCCATACGAGCACGAACTGATCGCTATAAGAACAGCCCAGTCCCAACCATTGTAAAAATTATCAATAACTTGTAATCAACCCCAGTGTATTCACTCCCAGTCAATTTTACTTTTTGCACTGTCACTATGTTGAAATGCCCTGTAGTTTGAGCTTCTCCCCACCTAGTTATTATATATCATATTTGTATCACTTATGTTACTTGTATATTATTTGTAAATCAAGAGACCCATTCTCCAATTATGTAACTGTATATTTTCAGCGTTCCGGCTGCCATGCTCTTTCAATAAACCGTTAATTATTAATATTATTATCATTAAAATGTTCAAAGGAGGACCACCAGACTGGTGCCTGCAATTCGGCACCTCAACTACCCTGAGAGATTGGAGCGCCTGAACTTGCCTAGCTTATACTACAGGCGGGCAAGGAGCGACCTAATTGAGGTGTATAAGCATCTCAAGGGGCACTACTCAGTTGAGTTTCCTTACTTGGAGCTGGCGGACGCTCGCCCCACAAGGGGTCACAGCTCAAGATTGAAGAAGCCGTAGGTCCAGAAAACTGTGAGGGCAAACTTTTTCAGAGTGAGAGTTGTGAACTCTTGGAACAATCTACCAGAAAGTGTTGTGATGGCACCTAGTGTAAGCTCTTTCAAGACCAGACTTGATCAACACTGGAACAGGTTCAGGTACATTCAGGGGCCGGTGCATGCCCAGTACTTGCCAACTGTGTGTAACAGAGACGTGACCGATTGCCCAAGCGGCTAACGAGCCGATCAATTGGCGAAAAGGATATAAGAAAAAGAAAAGTAACAGACATGACCGATCGCCCAAGCGGCTAACGAGCTGATCAGTGGTGAAGAGGATAAAAGATGAAAAGATCATTTAACAAAATTTACTCACTAAACATTTGGAAAAACAAGCATAGGACCAAAAAACATGCAGATCCTAATTGTGTAACAAGGAAACAGAAAATTTGCTTACTATTAATTTGATCATTGTTATACTCATACACTACTTTCAACACAATTTAAACTAGAAATTCGGTAGAGAAAGGTACAGTAATACTGTATTTTGTTAATTAACTTTATACAGTACAGTGAACCCTCACTTTACGCGGTTAATTGAACCCAAGGCGGCCCGCGTAAAGTGAACAACATAACATATGGGATTAATTGAAATAGAGACCGGGCCGACCCCCAAACTCCACTTTTTCCCGACACAATATGTACGTTCTACTAAAAATAACATCTTAACTTTATGATGGTATTCACACACACATAATATAGAAGGGAACAATCAATAAGAGAATAATAAACTGAAGGTTAGGTTAGAAAAAAACAAGGTTGGGGTTCACACTTACGTTAGTAGAAGAGATGGGTCGGCGTAGGGGAAAGGAGGCTGGTGCCGAGGCAGAGGGCAGGCTACTGGCCCTCAGGAGTCTTCATCGGTGTCATCCACACTTACTAGTGCCTCCCTGACAAATCCCTCAAAGTCATCATCACTGTCTCTGTCACTATCACTGGCTTGGGCTGGTTGTGGTGGGTTGCGGGCGAAGAACTCTGTTATGCTTTGCTTATGGCTGGTGTTTATGTTGTCGTGATAAACCTTGATGTAGGGCTCCATAGTCTGCAACAGCTGAGTAGTGAAGATTTCATACCTGTTAGCGTCAGGGTCGTCGAAAAGGAGGAGCTTGACTTTCTCAATACACTCGATGGCACCCCTTACATTACTATGGGATAAGCGGCGTTCTTCTTGCGATGACGCACCACCTGCCTCTTCATTGACGTCATCATCATCTACCATCTCGTCGGTAGTCACATCAGGATCCCTTATCACCTCCAGGATGTCGTTGTTGGTGGTCTCGGAGAAGCCTGCAGCTGTAACACTCTGTGCAGCTACTTTGGCAAGGTCTACTGCTACTGCAACAGTCTGAACCTCACCAGTCACAGATTTACTCTGCCTAACACCCGGAATACCTTGCAACACATGTCTCCATGCGTGACGAACAGTTGCTACAGACAGCTGATCCCATGCCTCCACTAAGAAGTCCACAGCTTTCTTGATGTTGAATGTTCTCCAGAATTGTTTCAAAAGCACTTCTTGCTCTGCCAACTGTTGATCCTCGTCGTCTTCGCTCTTGCTATCGGTGTTGGTGTCACTCAGGTTACGCAACTCTTCCTTGGTGTTGGTGTAATCGTTCAGGAGCTTGAATTTTTTAGCAGAGAATGCATCTTTTACATTACAGATCAATTCTTGGTCCATGGGCTGTATTATAGACGTAGTGTTAGGAGGAAGGAAGACCACTTTTACATTGGGGTGACGATCTAACAGTAGGGGCGAGTGTCCTGGTGCGTTGTCAAGCGGCAACAAAATCTTGAATAGCACATTCTGTTGCTCACAGAATTTCTTTACATTGGGAACGAAACAGTCATCAAACCAGGAGAGGGACAGAGTAGAGAACATCCACGCCTTACGTGCGGTCAGCCAGTGGACATTTAGCTTGGTCATGTCCATGCTCTTGTAGGCGTGCGGCTTGCGTGCTGTGTGGATCACCGATAACTTGAGCTTACAGGTACCGGAGGCATTGGTGGTAAACAGGACGGTGATGCGCTCCTTCTGCAACTTCCGGCCCCGACACTTGCTGGCATTCTTCACAACGAAGGTCTTGGAAGGTAGCTTTTTCCAAAAAAGACCAGATTCGTCCATGTTAAACACCTGGTCGTCGGTGTACTGTCCTTCCTCCATAATCTCACATAAAAACGGAGGAAATTCCCTAGCCGCAACACGGTCAGCACTAGCTTCTTCACCACCAATGTTGATAGTGGTGATCTTGTTCCTCTTCTTAAACCTCTGTAACCACCCAGAGGAAGCATTAAAGGGTTTGGGCTCTGTAATTCCCATCTTTCGTGACACTGCAGCATACAGTTCACGTGCATACTCCTTAACTGAGCGCGTGTCCACCGCCATGTTCCGTCGCGCCTGACTCACCAAGTAGCTCGCAAGTAACTTTTCCGTCTTGAGAAGCACCTGGTTGTGGAAATACTTGACCATAGAAGCGCCTGTAGACTTTGTGATGTTCATGTGCTCCTTTATCTTGGCTGCATCCTTCTTAATTGTCCTGATAGTTGATTCGTTAACACCATGCTGGCGCGCGAGATCAACCTGTCTTGTTCCTTTCTCCAACTCTTGTATGATCTTATATTTGATTTCGTAGCTTAAGGAACGTCGTGTCTTCTTTGGCTTAGGGCGGCTGGGTCAAGGTAATGCAAGGATTCTTTGAAGTGGTGGTGGTGGTCCGGTGGAAGCCATTCTTATGGAACAATGGATACCGATATACACGGTGTAGCCGGGAGGGGTGTAACTGACGCGGGTAGGTCAAGGGGCTTGAACGCTCCTGCAGCGGGGCACATCATAGTACATTAAACCAATCACAGCTAGCGGGGAGGGAGGTAAGGATGCTTTGCCCTATCACAGTCCGCTACGTCATATGACGTCACCGATAACGCAACAAAGACATACACTGCGCAACCTACTCGCGCCGCTTACACAACATGGCGGGAGAGATGGCGGGAGGTTTGGATCCAAAAATGGCGCGGCGCGAGAGGACCGCCAGCCGCTCTCCGCGTAAAGGGGTGCACGCACCGCGGAAAGTGAGCATTCCGTGTTCGGCAGGGTACCGCGTAAACGTGGAAACGCTTAAAGTGGGACCGCGTAAAGCGAGGGTTGACTGTACTGTACTGATTTTTGCCTTGCCTCTATATTAACCTATAGCAACTTATCAAAGGTTTTTTTTATATAATTTGCATGTCATAAGATACTGTACAGTATGTACATTGTCAGACTTTTAATTATCCAATTTTATTAGCAAAAAAATTTTAAATTTGCAAATTTATGTTATTATTGTAATGAATAATTTTATTTCATAGTTTCCTGTCCTGTTTGATTAAATTTGAACCATTTTTTTTATTGATGTACTGTACTTTACTCTACTATTCTGTACTGTATTGTGAAATACCTAATGTGCTAAATGTCACTTTTTAAATATTTTTATTTACCACTACAGGTAATTGAGCCATATAAGAAGGTGCTAAGTCACGGAGGTTACCTTGCTGGAAGTAATGAAGCCATTATAGTCTTTTCTGCGTGCTTCCTACCTGACAGGTCACGCAAGGATTATGATTATGTCATGGATAATCTTTTCATGTGAGTATGAGTAATTTAAGTAACATATTAAATTAAATATAATTTGTACTTTACAGTAAAATAGACACAATCAATGTTTGCCAAAAACTACCAAAATAATAACCTGTATTTATGGATGGATACAGTGCTGATCTATAACGTAATGGAGGAGCCAGCATCCACCCACCACTAGGCATACTTCTCTTATTCCTTACCCTCACACAACAAGGCTTACTGGAACTTGTAAGCCAACCCTGTCTTACCACAATGAAGCTGTGTCACTACTGTACTATCATTTCCGAGCCTGAAACTGAATTACCCCACAGTACTAAAGCTCCTCATTCACACCATCTCAAACTTCTGACATTTTAATATACTGTACTGTACTACTCTGAGAATAAGGTCCTTTTTTTCTAATTTAGTCATTCAAGCAACATTTTAAATTCCTAATTTTAGATGTACGTACTGTACTTGAAGTCCAAAACATCACAATTATACACATACTGCATAATTTGTACTGTACAGTAAAATAGACACAATCAATGTCTGCCAAAAACTACCAAAATAATAACCTGTATAATTCATATGTATACTGTACTGTACTGTATTTATACATATATAACTTAGTACAAAAATTAATGAAAGTTCTTGGCGGAACAGGTATGTCTTGACAACCTTAGACCAACTGATCGCTGAAGACTACGTGTTGGTCTACCTCCACGGAGCCACAACTCGGGGTAATATGCCATCGTTTGCTTGGCTCAAAGTAAGTATTTATTTTATTTATGTAATTTTTCAAACATTCCAGTCTGTGTCAGTCCTATCTTTGCAGACAGGGGAGAATTCAAGCATGACCACTGAGAGACCCAAGCTAGTTGTTTATATTTCCCCAGTGTTACAATTAAGATGGAGGCATGTAGTAGATAATTTTTAAATACTTATCCTATTGAAAAGTTTGTCACTCACTGAGAGGAAAATATTGATGAAGAAAATATCAGGAACTCCTAATATGAGTTACTTTCTGCATTTCACAGCGATGCTATCAGATGATCGATCGACGACTTCGCAAAAACTTGCAGGGTCTTTACCTAGTCCATCCTACCTTTTGGGTCAAGACTGTGGTAGTAATGACGAGGCCTTTTGTCAGGTGAGGGGATTGTCTGTTCTGTGTCAGGTGAGATGGTTGTCTGTACTGTGTCAGGTGATATGGTTGTCTGTACTGTGTCAGGTGATATGGTTGTCTGTTCTGTGTCAGGTGAGATGGTTGTCTGTACTGTGTCAGGTGAGATGGTTGTCTGTACTGTGTCAGGTGAGATGGTTGTCTGTACTGTGTCAGGTGATATGGTTGTCTGTACTGTGTTAGGTGAGATGGTTGTCTGTACTGTGTCAGGTGAGATGGTTGTCTGTACTGTGTCAGGTGAGATGGTTGTCTGTACTGTGTCAGGTGAGATGGTTGTCTGTACTGTGTCAGGTGAGATGGTTGTCTGTACTGTGTCAGGTGAGATGGTTGTCTGTACTGTGTCAGGTGAGATGGTTGTCTGTACTGTGTCAGGTGAGATGGTTGTCTGTACTGTGTCAGGTGAGATGGTTGTCTGTACTGTGTCAGGTGAGATGGTTGTCTGTACTGTGTCAGGTGAGATGGTTGTCTGTACTGTGTCAGGTGATATGGTTGTCTGTACTGTGTTAGGTGATATGACTGTCTGTGAGAGGATTGCTTGGTGTATATTTACAATGTTACTTTGTTGCTTATTATTTTTAAATACAATATGTAATATAAAACCTTATAGACACTTTAAGAATCGGTTGAAATTTCCTTAAAACAGAATTCTGCTATTCTAAAAGAATCAACCAGCCTTATCAACAGCAGAAATTAAATTTTAACCTACACAGAGATGCATAATCTGTTACAATCATGATTCAATGTTCATTAAATGTAGTTTTAATCAATCTTTCTTCACGGGCTCCATTGAGAAGGGATTAATATTACTAGATTCAAATAAATAGTACAGTGTCTGCATCTCTACTCTCTCCAAGATTTTCATGAGATAATATTTTCATAGTCGGTAACAAATTTCGGTATATTTTAACACATAACCACATTTGTGCCGAGTGCTCTCATAACACTAGGAGTTATAGAAAATTAAAGCACTGACCATCAGCAAGAAAGACGACAGACACACAAAGTAGTACAGTAAACCCTCGAAAGTCGAGACCCTGAAAGTCGGGATTTTGGATATTGCGACCCTTTCCATGCATGAACCATTTGTCCGAACCCTTCAATATTTGTAATTTGAAATTGTTGCCATGTGCGGTCATTTGAAATTGCTGCCAGCGAGGAATCCATTGAGGCCACTCTCCACCTCTCAGATCTGTGAGTGAGCAGTTTATTCTCCCCACTCTTAGAATGCACTCGCCCATAATGCTGCACTGTGATTGGTTAACTTCTGTTAAGCTGTTAAGCCGCAACGCATGCTTCCCTCATTCGCCACAGAAAACTGATAAGATTTTAGGTAAGATAATCCAAGAAAATGTGATCGTAATCCTTTGGGAAAGAGAGCAGAAGACAAGCTTGTACTGCATCATCCATCTGTCGACACACACACACACACACTCTCTGCTGCGTCCATCTCAAGTCTCTATAATATATTTTATATTATTAGCGACAAAACATACACCATAAGAGGCTATTCATATGAGAATATTATACAGTAATTAAAAAAAAACCAGCGAACGTAGTCCCCCACCAGCACATTTACACATGAAGTGTCATCTGTGTTAGCTCTCGTTAGGCCTATATCAAATCTGATTAGACCACTGTACAGTATCCCCCTTAAAGACAATGCAGTACAGTATATATGTTAATAATAAATAAGTTAATATTCCTTATGACATTTATTGCACATTAAAATACAGATTTAAGTGTTGCAGTTGGGCTAATGAGTAGCTGGTTAGTGCACAGTTGCCCCCAGAACCCCCACTTGGTAAAAGTCTGGACAATCGGACTTCCGAGGGTTTACTGTACATGTATACTGTACAAAGATTCTTATAAGCTAGCTGAAAATAATTTCTCTATACTATTTGGGATATAACAAACTAAGATTCTTCTGTCTTTTTTTTTTTTTTACATTCTCAGTGCAAAGTTTGCTAGAAAGCTAAGATTTGTGAATAGCTTGAAGGAGTTATCCAGCCTCATCCCTATGGATCAAGTGTGCATTCCTGACCGGGTCAAACAGTAAGATAACCGAGTTTATCATTTGTAATGAAACTTTCATTCTAGTTATTTAAGTCTTCCCAAAACATCTTTCATTCTTACATTATTTCTCTTTGGTATATAAACACCAAAATAACCCATCTCTTTTACCCTACACTTAGCCAAGACCATAATAATATGGGTCTGCCCTCTTTATATTCCACCACTTAAATCTATCATTTTATCACTAAACAACAGAGCCACACAATTTTTTCTCATTCAGACACTGCAAACTTTACACACATTATTTAGCCTCTACATTTTCTGTTGCACATTGTCCTTTGAACATATTTACATGTAGATTATGCAATGCTGTGCCAACTAACTCCTAAAGTTAATGCTACTAATGCAAACTACAGTATGTACCATAAAATTTAGTGCTGCTAAAGCTAAACATTCAAAATTTAGTGCTGCTAATGCTAATTTTGCTGCTATTGCTAATTTTGCCACTAACTTTTCTGAAACCACTTCAGTTTACTGTATATACTGGAACATGTCCTGTCATCAGTAACTTAAACATGAGTGGAGTTCCTTTCATATACTATACTACATACTTTACTCTACTGTATAAGGAAGACAAACCAAGGAAAAAAGAAATACTAAATACTACTCAATTTATACATCTACAGGTATATTCAATCAAAATACTATACCCTGTAATGTACACAATTAAAAGAAAGTATAAAATTACAGAACAAAAAAAATCACTGAAATATTGCTGTTGCAAATTACATTAATTTTCAAAGCAAACAAAAAAATTACCAGATGTCATCAGTATGTGCTCTTAAAACTATGAGATTTTTTTAGCTTCAAAGATTATTTTTCATTTTTAACAAATGCTTCATAGAATTTTGCTCATTTTTAACAGTCATTTTCACAAAAGTTGATTCAGACAGGCCAGATCTTTTAGGCTTCATTATGTCTTTCTCTACAGAAAAAAACATTCTACAGCTGTAGACTTTCTTATCCACATTCACTATCACCAGTAAATAACAAATATTCATTAATACAGTACAGTATATGGCTAAGGGTTGGCACATGCTCCTCTTCCATTGGTGTCTTTCTTTGAAACATTAGCCACAGGGATGTCATCACTTGATAGAGACATTATGACTGGCAAGAGACAAATGCAAAACAAATGCCTCCAATGGATGGGCTCTGTACCTGCTACTATCCAGGACCAAGTTGACTTTATGCATGATGTCATGCATAACAGTAAATATGCAGAGTTTGGCCAACAAGGAATGGCAGCATGGTTTTAGGCCCAGCTGCTCCTGCTTGATGCAATTGCATATAGTGATGGATGAATGAACACAGAACCTGAAGCATGGTGGCAATATTGAATACAGTATATATTTACCATATTTACCTAATGGCCACCCAAACTACAAGTGGTCATGCCAAAGGAAGAAGGCCAGTAGCCTGTGTAGGATCCCTCCATTGGTCTTGATAATCTTGTCAAGAAATATTTTGAAGCCCAGTACTGTTCCTGATTCCACAGCTTGAGCTGGTAGACTGTTCCAAGGGTCTACCACCTTCTGTATGAAGAAGTATTTCCTCATATTCATATGGCATGACATCTTGGCAAGTTTGAAATTGTGTCCCCTCATGTCAGTGGTGCATATCATGAAAAATAGTTTGGATTCAGGTTTTCTATCCCTTTTAAGATTTTTAATGTCTATGAAATCCACCCTATTATGTTTTGCCTGAGGAGTTGATAGTCATATGGTCCTCAAAATGATAATCAAGATGATGTAATTCAGGAATCATCACAGTCGCTGTGTATTGCACCTTTTCTAGGGATGTTAAGTCTTTCTGGAGGTAATACTTTGACTTTGCTAAGGCATTCAACAGTGCACCTCATGAAACACTGAAATTAACTGGAAGGGTATGGGATTCAAGGAAGTGTCCTGGCATGGACCGGAGACATTTTTCATGAACTAACAGTGTGTAGTGTTTATTAGCACGAAATTGTCATGTGTACTAATGACGGATGGTGTAGCACAGGGCAGTGGGCTGGGACCATTGTATAATTTGTTTGTTTGATAAATGATATGCAAGATGCTATTCATTTTTCCAAACATACATTTTTGGACTGCTAAATTATTCAGGGAAATTAAGAACCAAACAGAATGTCTAGTGTTACAGGAAGATTTTTATCGGTTTTAGGAGTGGTCAAAGAAATTGCTGCTATGATTCAGCATTACAAAAGACTAGCTGCACCAAGGTCATCCAAGTAATAAGAAGGCATATCACATGTCTCAACATGATGAAAAAACATCATTAACTGAGATCAAATGTGAAAAGGATCTGGGTATGTATATTGACAAGAAGTGAAAATTTTGGATCATTGTCAGAAGAAGGTGAATCGAGCAAATAAAGTAATTACACTACATGTATACGAATCATACACATATACCTAGATAGTCCACTCTTCATAATACTCTTCAAAAGTGAGGTGCTTCCTCTCTTGGAGTAGTCATTCCATCTGGCATAAACTGACAATTGATTTGGAATGTCAAAAAGAGGACCACAAAACCATGCCTGCATTCCAGCACCACACACAGTGAGAAAAGATTAGAATGCCTTCAGTTGCCTAACTTACACCATAGATGGACAAGGGGTGATTTAATATTAGTTTATAAGCACAATAAAGGACATTACTGTGCTCAGCCAAGTGTTCATGTCTGGAGCTAATGGATGACCCCCATTAAAGGTCACAGCCTTAAGTTAGACACCACAAGTGCAGACAGTTGTCAGAGCTAACTTCTTCTTTTTTTTTGGAGAAAAAGTTATGAACTCTTGAAATAACCTGCAAGATAATGTTATGATGGCACCATGTGTGAGCTCAGTTAAGGACAGACTTGATCAACAGTGGTGTGTGTGCAGGTACATTCTAGAGCCAGTGCTTGCCCACAGGCATAACAGAAAAATTATCAGCTGCCCAACTGGCCAGAAAGGCAACCAGTGGCAAAGAGGATAAAATAACAAGTTGCAACTTTCATTTAGTGCTGCCTCAGTCATTTATAATGTCGACTGCAGTCATGAACTAATTATTAGCACAGTACAATTTTTTATAGAAAATTAGTGATTAGCAGTCAATGAATCATTCTCTCAAAACTTGGCACTGCAACCTGTTTCACAAACAGTTTTGAAAATTAGCAGCACTAATGGTACTGTATTACTAACAGACTGTTAACACCACAATTCCCAGCACTGCATTTACTGTATGTCACTTCAAACCATTTTCTGATATTGTGCATAATACTGGAATGAAGTACTGTAATAAGCATTACAATACAGTGCTGTCATCAAAATACAGTACCTTATAATATTTCAAAGGCAGTCAAACATTTATTTACCATCTTGATTTGTGTGTTGCAGATATGATGAGATACGGGAAAGTTTGCTTGAGAAGGCATGAAAGGGTAAGTCTTGTGTGTGACTGATTATAAACTAGTAGCAAGACTCTGTAACATAACTTATTACAAATTATGTAAAATACATGTACAGTACTGTACACACGCGATACTAATTCATTTCTCATCACTGATTACTTTCAATAGGTATACCTGTCAATTTAGTACCTTCTGATTATTAGCTACATTATATAGTTATTTTCAGTTAGCTGTCAAGGAATAGCATAGCAGCTCAATCTTCAGTGATGGAAGTAATATAGGGACCAGTGGAGTAATGGTCAGCATGCTCACCTCGCAAATGATTGAACCTGGGCTCAATCCCCAGGCAGGGTGAAGCTAAGGGCAAGTTTTTTTTATGCCATTTACCTCTCTACCCAGCAGTAATTGGGAACCTGGATGTTAATCGATTTGCAGATCATGTTCAAGATAATGGTTAGCCAGTGCAGTGGGAGAGTTGTCTGGTCTTCTTGGACTATTCCTTCACACTGTGTCATACAACTCATTAACTTAGGTGTGGTTCTTATGTTGATGACAAATTCACACCTAAGTGGCCCGTGAGCTGGCCATCCTTGAACATGAGGAACAACCATTATTGATATAGAGGATTAAGTGAGAGATATAATATTGGGGGAGTAACAGGGATTTTTCATAGCCTTTTGTCTTGAAATGGAAATTAATGTGTTTGCTTGTTTAGTACAGTAACTCCAGTCTTTCTGAAAACTTTGTACAGGAAAAGCAGCATCCGAAATTTAAAGAACAAGAATAATTACTGGTAGTGTTAAAAAATGGGAGAAATTAACTTCAAGGGTAAATGGTATCCAATACAAATAAATACAGTACCATATTCACAAAATTTTTACCCTAGATCCTTAATCAGCATGTTGAGGAGTACAGTACATTATCAGGCTGTACCTCTGTTGTACTAGTTTGATGGCAATGCAAAGTAAGAACCATCTCATGGGTCATGTCTAAACTAGAATACCAGTCATAAAATGTCATAAAATGTCAAACAATATTACTGATGTCTTGATACCATTCTAATATACAGTATACAATAAGTAAATAAAAATTGCTTTACTTTTTCCTCTTTGCCATTTGTCAGCTTGTTGGATAGTTGATCAGTTCTCTGTTATGCATTGCTGGCAAGTACCTGTACTGGGCATGTACGGCTCCTTTCAGAAGTTCGTGATAAAATGGCAGTGGAGGGTGAATAGCTTGTTGCACCCTTCCTAGATGGCAGATCACTATGAGAGGCCCAGCCATCAACTCCTGAACCATGTCTATGCCCAATAGGAAATTTGCAGGCGTAGGCCAGAGTTTATTCGTGACCTTGTCTTCTATGCCAGTTATTGAGAAGGGGTAGACTGGACGAGGTATTAAATGATAATGTGGAAAATGGAATTAATTTGTTCTTCTAAAGTGTGTGTTTTATTATTGTTAAATAGACATTGGTAACCAATAATATGCAGACTACAATTGAGGCGCTCCACATTACAGGGGGGGTAAAGAGCCATCCCCGGCAAAATGCGTTTTTTGATGGATGTCACTATTTTTACCCTTCCTCTACATGTTGGCGTTGGATGTAACCCCCTAGGTAGACTAGAAACATGGTTGAAAGTTCATCAAAAATAGGGTGTCATTTCGCCTCAGGCCGGGAACTACGTATCTGGCTTTGGTTGCATCCCGTTCAGAATGAGAGGAGCGCGAGCCAATGACAGTGCACATCCTGCGGACCATACCCCGAGTCAGCCAATCACAATGGATTTCCCTTGCTACGTCACAAGCTCCTCGGCCAATCCACTCGCCCAGTTTTGCCGCACTGCGTAGCATAAGGAGGTTCAGTGTTTCTACTGCTATTTTGGATAACTTTTCCCCGTAACATTGACATAATTCGTGTTCCATGGGTGTGAGAAGTGCTACACAATGTCTGGCCGATTTTAGAGCAAGATTTGAGTGAGGCCAGCCCTTCTGGTGTGGGTTCAGGTGCCCTGAGTCCTGAGCATGTGTCTAGTGACGACAGTGCTCACGTGGCTACCCCAGCCATGCTTGGTGACAGTGATTTTGATGGTGAATTTAGTGGTGATTATGGTGATGCAAGTGCTACTGGCGATGGTGATGGCCATTAAAGTTATACGCACTCCTCAGGATTTACGTAACTTCAACTTAGTACGATCATCAGGGATAATAAAACGAAGGAACTAAACAAAGTAAGATTGTAATACTATTATCATAAAACTGTTTTTACCCAAGATTATGCAAACTTTCTCCTCCTTTGTATTCGTATGTTTCTTACGTTAGGGAGAGGGGAGAGGTTAATGGTTGGGGGATGAGTGTAGTGGCATTTCCTTATTATTACACACTACTATTATACTAAACATTATTATAAATCTTTGGCTAATAATAGGGACGGAAAGATAAATACTGATAGGCAAATGAATTTTTTATTATTATTTAATTTTTTGGTGGGTCTGGGGGGGTTTATGGGGGGCGGGTGCAAGACGAGTGCTGTTTTTGGTGATCATTAACTTGTTTTACAGTATTAACACACAATAATAAGAGAATTAAGCAGAAAAAAGGAATTATTGTTGGTTTGAAGCTCAAACAACCATACATGAAGGGTAGTTATTCTCATTCAACTCGCGATAAAATAACTATTCACAGTACTAACTTCCAGTTTTCAGTGTTCGCTAGGAGAGGGATTGAGCTGCACGAAAAAAAAATTAACCCTCTAGTTTAAAAAACAACAACAAAGTTATGGTTGTTTGAACTTTAAAAAACTTTAAATGCATTTTTCTCTGTTTTTTAAATTTGGTGCTTCACCCCCTTGTAATGTGGAGCGCCTCAATTTATGCATACACAATACGTAAAGGCAGCAAATACAGTACAGTACTTGTATACAGTGTATTTATAATCTATTCAGGCTATTGTTGGTGGTTGTTGGGGGTAGTATCATTCATGGCCTATTGTGAGTTGCATACTGTATAGTGAACATCAACTGAAACTAACCTTCTTGTTTGTCTTTCTCACTGTAAGGAATAATTAACAAGTGATGGTGATTATAATATAATATATTTAAAGGGTTTATTATATTACAATGTCTCCCCAGTACTTGTATTCAAGATATATACAGTAATACCATTAAATTACTAATGCTCAATTGTATCAGGAAAGTAGCAAAGACAACTACCACTGGCATCTCCAGACCCACAAATAGATAGATGTTGAAACATATAGATAGATAATATACTTTATTGAACACAGCTGACACTTTTGACATTTGATACACAAATACAGTACATTATAACAGAAATACCTAGGCAATAGGCCTGTTCCAGTGCCATCTCGACTGCCAAAGAGTAACCTGACACTCTGAAACTCATTTATAAAGTGTTTGTCTTAAAAAGATTGTGCACTTTAAGACAATCATCCTTGGATTAACTTCTTCATTCACATTACAACTTGCAAATTTTTGCTTGAGAAACTGATATACTGTAAGAACATTTTCTCAAGCAGTCATTGCATCCATGTTTCCATTTCTTATCAAGTCTCTTGTATTATCCTTTTGGTGTATTAGTGTTGGCTATAAGAGTGATCACAAACTATAATGGGTCATCAGTGAGGATCACTATTTCAGACCATATGTATAAGAAAAATTTATGTTGTTTTGAGTTTAACTAAGTATGGCAACGGAGGGTAACCTGACTCAACAAAACACGCTTGGTTCGGTGTCATTCTCCTAACCTCTATTACAGTACTGTAGTTGTTATCATGGTCTAAAGAAGAGGAAGTCTACCCACACGCAGGTGGGTGGAGCTTCGCTGACGTCACATAGCGGATTCCTCGCTCCCTCACCTCACCTCTCACCCCTAATCAGCAAAACATTTATAGTTCCACATTCGAGAACTCTATCTCAATATCTCACATGCAAAATAATATTGCTTATAACTTTAGCTAAAGACACCAATGGATTTATACAGAATATACAGTGTATGTATACCAGAGAAGGAACATTTAAAAAGAGAAACGATGCAGCTTATAGGAGTTCCTTTCATCCCTTGTCTGTGGCATTAAATTTTTCTATGATAGAGATGGCATAGATAGATATATAGATACAGATAAATAGAGTGAGAGAGAGAAAGAGAAGGGGAGATGGAGGAGAAAGGCAGAAGGGGTGTTGTTGTGTTGTTATAATGTTATCACTGTGCTTGAACAACAAAGGTCTTTAAGCAAGTAGCATGGTTAGTAATATACTAGTCCAACAGTGATAAAAAATTATGAGAGATAAAACTCTCCGTTGAAGGGGAGAGGAGGGGTAAGTGTTCTGAAAACTCACTGCCAGAGACTGACAGAATTCCCAATTCATTATACAACAATGACAGGGTGCAGAGATCTACTGCATTTGCTTTTAAATTATTTATGCAATCATTACTGTAAAATGTATTGCAAAGTTATGAAGAATGCATGTATTCATATTTATTTGTTGTCAAAATATTTGTACAGTGGGTTGCACATTTTGTCAGCCTCTGGCAGTTCAAGATAAAGCCAGGCCAAGGTGCAAATATTACAAAGGAAATTACAGCAGGATGAGGGAAGAGATGAAGGGAATCCACTGTCCTGACTCATTAAGGCACAAGAACACAGACACTACCGTACGCTGAATATCATAACTAGTAAAGTGACCCATTTGATCTATAAATTAATACCCAAGACCAAACCCAGTGCCTCTAGGAATACGAGGGGAACCCTACACATGAACCATGCGGCGGTCAACAAAGTTAAGAAGAAAACCCAGAAATTCAAGACATGGATTAGGTCAACCGATGAGCAGGCCAGGAGGATGTATGCAAGAGCCAGAAACCAAGCAAAGGCAGAGTGTAGAAGGGCTGAATAGGAGTTCCAGAGGCTGGTTGCAAGTGAGGTCAAGTCAAACCCAAAGTTATTTTACTGCTATGCAAAGTCGAAATTAAAAACGCGAGTAGGAGTATCAGACCTGAGGCTTAAAGATGGTAGTTATGCAGATTCTGACCAGGATAAAGCTGAGGCAGTGAACAGCTTCTTTTCCTCGGTGTTCATAAGAGAGGATGCCCTGTAGGTGCGCGTGATCTACGTGTTTTCTTCTTTCCTTGTGGTTATATATATATATATATATATATATATATATATATATATATATATATATATATATATATATATATATATATATATATATATATATATATATATATATATATATTTTATATATATATATATATATATATATACAGTTGGTCCTCACATTACGCGGTTAATGTAACCCGGAGGGTCCCGCGGAAAGTGAGGAACGCGTAAAGTGAACAACATAACATATGGGATTAATTGAAATGGAGTCCAGGCCGATCCCCAAACTCCACTTTTTGACGACACACAACTATGTTGTAGTAAAAATTTTATCTTAACTTTATGATGGTATGAAAAAACAAGTAATATAGAAGAGGTTAGGTTAGGAAAGATAAAGGTTAACATAGGAAAAATAAAGAATAGGTTAAAAAACTAAAAATTTTGTGTAACACTTACGGTAGTAGAAGAGATGGGTCGGCATACGGGGATGGAGGCTGGTTCCGAGGCAGAGGGCAGATTACTGGCCCTCAGGTGAATCACCATTACTAGGTGAATCATCATCACTGTCACTTACAGTTGTCAGGGCTTCCCTGACAAATCCCTCAAAGTCAACTTCACTGTCACTATCACTGGCTTGGGCTGGCTGTGGTGGGTTGCGGGTGAAGAAATCTGTTATGCTTTGCTGACGGCTGGCGTTGATGTTGTCGTGATACACCTTGATGTACGGCTCCATAGCCTGCACCAGCCGGTTATGGAAGACTTCATAGCGGTCATCGTCATTGTCGCGGGAAAGGAAGGACTTCATCTTCTCTGCACACTCCATGGCACCCTTAATATCACTATGACTTAAATTGTGTTCTTCGGAGACTGACGCACCTTCTTCCTCCTCTTCACTGACGTGTTCTTCTTCCATCATCTCGTCGGCAGTCACTTCAGGATCTCTGATCACCTCCAGGATGTCGTCGTTGGTGGTCTCGGAGAAGCCTGGAACTGTAACAGTCTGCGCAGCTTCTCTGAGGTCCACTGCTACTGCAACATTCTGAACCTCACCAGTCACAGATTGACTCCTCCTCTCACCTGGTATTCCATGCAACACATGTCTCCATGCGTGACGAATTGTAGCAATAGACAGCTGATCCCATGACTCCACCAAGATGTCCACAGCTTTCTTGATGTTAAATACTCTCCAGAATTGTTTGAAGAGTATTTTTTGCTGTTCTAACCGTTGTTCCTCATCTTCGTCGCTCTTGCTATCGGTGGTGGTGTCACTCAGGTCACGCAACTCTTCCCTGGTGTTGGTGTAGTCGTTCAGGAGCTGGAATATTTTTGTTGAGAATGCAGCTTTCACATTGCAAATCAACTCCTGGTCCATGGGCTGTAATATAGACGTAGTGTTGGGAGGAAGGAAGACCACTTTTACGTTGGGGTGACGATCTAACAGTAGGGGCGAGTGTCCTGGTGCGTTGTCCAGCAGCAACAAAATATTAAATGGGACATTCTGTTGCTCACAGAATTTCTTTACATCGGGAACAAAACAGTCATCAAACCAGGAGAGGGACAGTGTAGAGAACATCCATGCCTTACGTGCTGTCAGCCAGTGGACATTTAGCTTGGTCATGTCCATGGTTTTGTAGGCATGCGGCTTGCGTGCTGTGTGGATCACCGATAACTTGAGCTTACAGGTACCGGAGGCATTGGTGGCAAACAGGACGGTGATGCGTTCCTTCTGCATTTTCCGGCCCCGAATCCTGCTGGCATTCTTCACAATGTAGGACTTGGAAGGTAGTTTTCTCCAGAAAAGACCAGATTCGTCCATGTTAAACACCTGGTCGTCACTGTACTGTCCTTCCTCCATAATCTCACGTAAAAACGGAGGAAATTCCCGAGCCGCAGCACGATCAGCACTCGCTTCTTCACCACCAATGTTTATATTGGTGATCTTGTTCCGGATCTTAAACCTCTGTAACCACCCAGAGGAAGCATTAAAGGGTTTGGGCTCTGTAATTCCCATCTTTCGTGCCACTGCCATGTACAGTTCACGTGCGTAGTCCTTCACAGAGCGCGTGTCGACCGCCATGTTCCGTCGCGCCTGACGCACCAAGTACCTCACAAGTAATTTTTCTGTCTTGAGAAGCACCTGGTTGTGAAAATACTTGATCACAGAAGCACCTGCAGACTTTGTGATTTTCATGTGCTCTTTGATCTTGGCTGCATCCTTCTTGATCGTGCGAATCGTAGATTCGTTGACGCCATGCTGGCGCGCGAGATCAACTTGCCGTGTTCCTTTCTCCAAATCTTGAATAATTTGGTACTTCACCTCGTAGCTTAAGGAACGTCGTGTCTTCTTTGGCTTAGTGCCGCTGGGTCCAGGTAAGGAAAGGTTTTTCTCTGGGGGTGGTGGTCCGGCGGAAGCCATTTTACGGAACAATGGATGCGCGTTAACACGGAGTGGCCTTGAGGGATGAAACTGTCGCGGCTAGGTCAAGCGTCGTCTTTCCTCCCTCCCTCCCTCCCCCGGGTGGACACGTCATAATACTTTAAGCCAATTACAGCTAGCAGCAGAGGAGGGTAGGGATGCATGGCCAATCACAGGTCTTGTACGTCATATGACGTCAGTGATAACGCAACAAAGACACACTGCGCAACCTTACCGCGCCGCTTGCCCAAGCGGAGGGAGGAGGAGGAGGGAGAGGCAGGCAGGCGGGTGGCGCGTGGGGAAAATCTAAAAATAGCGTCGCGCCGGACACTCTCCGCGTAATGGCGTTCGCGACCGCGGAATGTGAGAATGTTAGGTTCTGGCAAGGCACCGCGGAACGGTGAAACGCGGAATGCGGGACCGCTTAATGTGAGGACCAACTGTGTGTATATATATATATATATATATATATATATATATATATATATATATATATATATATATATATATATATATATATATATATATATATATATATATATATATATATATATATATATTTATTTATTTATGACTTATTTTTTACTTTCATTACTGTATTTTGTCATTCTATTTCTTCTTTTCTCTTAAATTATATGATTTTAGATGTGCCTGTATGCAGTATAAGGACTTAAGCTATGCTATACATAGTGGGATTTTAAACATTGTTCTGTAAGTACAGTATGCACATAGGGTATGTGTTTCGCCTTAAATACATTTTCAACTTAAGAATGTCTGTATGAACGGAACTCATATGTAACCCGGGACAGTCTGTATATATAAACACACACACACAGAGTATTAATGTCGATAACTACATAGGAAAAAGAAAACACAAAGTTCCCAAGTGCTTTCATGTAATTCACACCAATCTTCAAGTAATGAATTCATTGAAGAGGTTATATATGAGCTCTGCTCAACTACTTCTTCTAGTGTTCATTTGGAACTGATTTCCCCATTGTATTCTCATATTGGAATGGATACGTTTATCACTAATGGTTTTCTTCTACTCATAAGCAGAATATTAACACATCATCCATTAGCAGTAACGTTGGCCGATATCCATACAGTATTACCGGTAATATCCTTCTCATCTCTTTTTGATAAGTCTTCATTCAAATTAAACTACTCTGTTGTCAGTTCCACTTTGTGTGTTGGTGGGAGGTTCAGTATAGTGACTTGCCATCCAGGAAGGGCACAACGGACTATGAACCCTCCACCACCAATGTATCACAAACTTCTGAAAGGAACTGTACCTTAATACATGCAAACTGGGCTGTATCACCTTTTTATGAAAAGAATACAGTTACACATACCGATTACCATTTAATACCAGCAGAGATTTAAAAGAATATGTATTTTTGTGGGTGTAGGGGGAGGGGGATTCTTCTTTAAATAAACTACAAACATTCATTCACTGTCAGATATACTGTACTTATTATTGTACCACTTAACAGACTAACATTTTCTTGTCTATTTTGATACAGATAGATTGTTTATAGAAGAGGAAGACTTCCCTCTTGTGGTAATTAGTATTCATGTGACCTGCTGAGTCCATGCTCTTCAGGTAATGCACACCTCAAGTAGAAAGTTAGGAGTACAGTAATCCAAACAAGCCAACCAAGTGTTTACAGCATATTTTACTCAAATGGACATCAGTAATCAGTTTCCTTGAAAACCAACAGTGTTACCAGGTGAAAGTGCTAATACAAAATTTGAAGACAAAAAATAGAAAGATTTAATTTTGATAGTGCCAATAGTAAAAAAGATAAGGTGGAATTTAATGTGATACAAGGAAGAAAGTGAACTGTGAGATAGACTTCTAAGTGTTGCACTGCTGTTATATGTCTTATTGCTGATAATATTAATTTCTCATAAACCAAGTCAAGCTGTTGGTATGAGAATGAAGGTCGTGATTCTGAGACAATTCGCCATCTCTCTATACGAGTGAGTGGCGGGACAGGTCTTGCTAGAGCACAAAATAGATACTGTTCGAGTCCCCAATAACTGTGGAACAACCGAGACAAGTGCAACAAAGGTGCTCCCCATGTGTGCATTATTTGAATTTTCACTTTCAGTATGATGAAAAGAATGTCTCTTATAAGCAGTGAGAGGCAAGTTATTGTGAACTGGACTGTGGATGTGATGTACCCCACCCAAAACCTGTCCAATAGTTACTTGTTAATATAAAACCACTATGTAGAGACATGTGGTTTGTCTCGTAAAAAATGTTAAATGTGCTGTAAATTAGAATGTTGATCTCTGCACAGATAGTTATGGCTTAATACCAACACCAATTAATGCTGCATACTTGTGGGCTCAATAACACAATTATTAATTATGTAAATGTTATTACTATATATATATATATATATATATATATACAGTATATATATACAGTATATATATATATATATATATATATATATATATATATATATATATATATATATATATATATATATATATATATATATATATATATATATATATATATATATATATAATTTATTAGAAATCAAATTTTACATATAATATGGAGAACAGAAGTTCCTATAGACACAAAATGACAAACAGGCATTGTGCCACCTTTTGTAGGTGTGTCTTAGAGGTGCATCATTGTTCACATCCCACTACAAAAGAGAGAACCACGACTTTACATAGTGCATACACTGTAAATGTATAGAATTCTTATGATGAAATATGCATGCATGCTTTGTGAATATTATGAGCATATGCATTATAGAGCATGTGTTATAGATAAATTATTATATATGAATTATTGCAGCCTTGGTAATATGTTATGTACTGCTGCCCATCATTGCAGCTGCAGGTGATATATTTGAGATTTTGGTGACCTGTAATAAATATGGCATTAAGTTTGATGTGCACACATTTATATTGCACATACGTTTCAGTAGGCAAAACAGATTTTTTTTTTTACCTACACTCATTCATATTCAGCTTCCCAAACTATGGCAATAATCAATTTAATTTTCTCATTTGTAATTATCATTTTATGTGGCTAGCATTTGTATTACAAGACCTTATTTTGCCAGTCTAAATAATGTAGTATTGGAGTGCATAATATACACATTGTACAATGGTAAAATATTGCATTGCCTCTGCTCAGACTTGCCTGTTCATTCTCCTTCATTCATTGAAGGTTTAGAATCCCCCCCAAGAGGACACTGTAATGCTCCCCTGTTCAGGAACATATATAACAGCTACTGCTTTACAAATACAAATAACAAAGATCTTACTGTAAATTATTTTAATTACTTTTACATAATCATTTCCTAGAAGATGGTACAGTATAGTATAAAACATACAGCTCTGTAAATACACAGTTTATGATGACAGTTTTCACAGGCAAATTAATAATAAAATAATTGTGATCTTGCAATGTTATTGAATGAGAATGTTATAGTTCATTTTGTGTCTTAATAGTCTTCCCTGGATGATATTAGCACTGAGAGCATCAGCTTCCCTCACTACCTCTACCAGTTTTATCCACTACTGCATATCATTTCACATAATCGATAAAAATGAGCTACCCGGCAGGTTGACTGCAGATATTTTGATTCTGGTCTGTGATGAACAAACAAATATTAAGCCAATTTATAAGTAGAATTTCTTGCAATCTGTCTTTGCCTTCAGAAATAACCTATTTAAAGTCAGATTACAAGGAATAAAAATATAGCTCTTCATTTTATTTTTTCAGGTAACTATGAAAGATGCCTCACTATGAGTTACTGTTAGACATTTATGATATTTTATGTGATTAAGTTATTTGACCGAATTGTTATTAGCAATTCACCATCTATGTCACCAAGACCAATTATCAGTTACAGTAAGCAGTCGTCCCCCCTGCCTGAGTGTTGCTGGAGCTGTTATATGTTAACATTATTATACTAACATGCAAAGTCATTGGAGTTGAATTCTTAGCCACCGGGTGTCAGCTTATAGTACTCATATCAAGTTCTTAACTCTGAAGCTTCCTCTGAATCATGAAATGTCTTCACAGTTTTGGAATACTGTACATTATGTACAGTAACTACAGATTCTAAGTGATACAGTACTTGCACTTTTTTTTCATCAACTCAATAAATGAACATACTGTATATTTCAGCTTTAAGGCAAAGAAAATGCTTTACATTTCATTGCCTTTCTGTAACTTAGTACATTAATTTTATTGATCATAAAACAAGTCATACAGAAAGACACCCAACTAAGAATTCAACTACCAGAACTAACATAAATATATTAAAAGGCCAATATAAAGAATGGACATGTCATAAAAACTTATGGTACAGTATATTATGTGCAAGATCACAAAGACGTGTGATAAGTTCAGAGGTTCACAGTCACAGTTGTAGTGTCAGTTCCAGCAGTGCTAAGTGCCATTTCAATTTCACTGAAACACGATATGATGTACTTTTTTATGTCGGTATATCTAATAGTCACAAGTGATTAAAAGTGCACTGACTATGAACTCTGAGCTTCATGAACCTGTTTTGTCTCATCATTGGTTGTAACCCTCCATGGTATGGAACCTGCCTTTTTCCAGCACAGATGAATGAGGATTACCAATCAGGCGAGGACAGACTACACATCTGGCTTGGCTTCCACTACACATCTAACTCCTTGTGAAGACCAACAGTTGGCTTCTGAAGGCACTACACCAGGATCAGAAAGCTCCCACACCTTGCTTGAGATGGCTCCACACCTGACTAATACTGAGCACCTGGCTTAGTAAGATCCCATTCCATGCTTGGAATGATTGCTGTCCTGTATGTGGGGCGATATAAACAATAAAAGCAAACCAGTCCCAATATCTACTTTTTCACCTTCATTTGTACAGTATGCATAAAGCAAATTTTGCAGGTGATGGAGTTAAAGAAAATTTACAACATACACAACTTTATTAGTGCAGTAATTCAAATTTCAAATGAGTGCTCACAAAGGCACATATTCACAAAGAGCAAGCAACTATTTTTTTTTTTTTTTTTTGCTGATGGTGCAATCCCCACCCCCTTTGTAGTGCCTTGCCAGCTCATTGGCTCATATATAATATTCAATTAATATTGATATACTGCATATAAGTCCATATCAAACTGCCATGGATATCCAATTCTGACTCACATTAATGTTGAATTTAAAGTCTGTAATGATATAACTGCTTGAAACCATTAATGTGGGATGTCCCATTATTATTTTCTATCTGCTGCAATACGAGAAGTTCAACAGCTGCCTAACCGCCATAGAAATTACTGGTTATTACAAGACTCTCACTATTTATCTAACTAAAACATAGTACACTAGGTAACTATCGTTTGGTTTATAGGAGTCTTCATTACGTTCACAAGCCGTCCTCTTAAGGTATTACATACACACCCTAAATAAATAACAATATAAGAATATATAAAGAGGAACATACTATTTTATGTATAGAAAAATAAATAATAAATCATGGGAATAAAATTTGTATTATGGATGCCAAAAATAAAGTACGAAATATATGGTAGTAGTACAGCCTCGAGCGTAGGTCTGGACAAAAGGTGCGTAAGAGCGTATATTTACCTCAAGAGTTTTAAGTAGACGTAGGTATACATTTAGACTTCACTACAGGAATAATGATGTTATAATGAATTATTTACTGTGTTAATTGTATTTGTCACATTGAAGGGGAGTAGTGAATATTTGTACATCTGTCAATTAAGTTCAAAGACAAAGCGAAAATTATGACTCGAGGTGTCAAGTTTTAATAATTGTTTTAAGCTTAATGTTTTATTGTCATTAGTAACCTGTATGTGTGAAGTGCATATTAAAATCACCTATTTATTTATACTGTATTAAGACAATATGCAACTTTACCAAATGGAATGAAAATACATTGAAATTTACTGTACATATAATGACTTCACAACTAATTATGTATAGATATAAAATGAACTGAAGCTCTTTTACATTAATAAATTTTGCTTTTTGTCTGCTAGGACTGTCAGTCTGGTCTCTATTAAGCAAAGTTAACACGTACTGGGCATGTTTGGGCTCTTGAATGTACTTGAATATGTGCCAGTGTTGGTCAAGTATAGACTAAGAATTCACACCTGGTCACCTAAGAATTCACACCTGGTCACCTGGTCTTGTTACAACACTTTCTGCCAAGTTATAGCAAGAGTTCGTGTTATTATTTTAGTTTCAGTCATCTAGAGAATTTTAGGGGGGTCGCTCCCTCGGTTAGGTCAGATATGGTTCCTGGGTTTTGTGGCTAGGTTTAGGTTAGGTTCGGTTAGGTTAGGTTTGGATGTCTAAATACAGGAATGACCGAAACCAAAATTTTACCGATTTCACAACTCTTACTCCAAAGACGTTAATTCTGACAGTTTTCTGTACTGCTTGCTTCTTTAACTTGAGACTGACCTCTAGGGGGCGGGGAGCAGCCATCTGCTAATTTCATGACATTTTTTCATTATCTATCATTTCTACCACTTACAATCTTACTAGCCATTAAGGCAGTTAGTCTGTCTTTGTTAGTTTATTACAACCTTCAGTGTACAGTGTTATTACAAGAAGAAACCAAAGTATCTGGAGAAAACTGCTATATTTGTTAGAGTCATACAGGATAACACCCTTCTCACATCAGGCCTGGGGATTCGAACCCATTACTGCAGTGGTGGGAGGAAAGCATGTAAATGCTGTACCACCACCACACCATGTACATTTGACTAAGGTGCTTATTAAACTTATATTAAATTGGCCCTTGCCCTTCTCTAGTACAGTGTAAACGAAGCAATTGAAGACTTCCTAATTTATTTTTTTAAGTGGGGTGTCTGAGTGCTGGTATTAATTTGATGGGGGGTACATGTCAATAAGTCCCTCTGCCCTACTGTTCCCCTGCTCTAGAGTCCCCCTGCCATAGTTCCTCTCTGCCCAAATGTTCCACTGTCTTAGTGCCCCCCTGCCTGAGTGTTCCCCTACCCGAGTGTTCCCCTGCCTGAGTGTCCCCTTACCCAAGTGTCCCCCTGCCTGAGTGTTCCCCTACCTGATTGTCCCCCTGCCTGAGTGTTCCCCTACCTGATTGTCTCCCTGCCTGAGTGTTTCCCTACCTGAGTGTCCTCCTACCTGGGTGTCCCCCTGCCAAGTGCTCCACTGTCTGCATGTCCCCCTACCTGAGTGTCCTGCTGTCAAGTGTTCCACTGCCTGCATGTCCCCATACCTGAGTGTCCCCTGCCGGAATGCCCACCTGACAAGTGTTCCTACCTGAGTGACTCCCTGCCTGAGTGTCCCCCTACCAAGTGTCAAATTACTTGTATGTCTACCTGACAAGTGTTCCACTGCCTGCATGTCTTCCTACCTGAGTGTTCCCCTGCCTGAGTGTCCACCTGCCTGACAAGTGGTCCACTGCCTGCACATTTCCACCTGCACTTGGCAGTGTCTGGCATTTAGGTACTTGAGGATCATTATGTGAAGGGGATTGCAATTTTCTCTGTGTTAAGGATTTGTTTCCCTTTTGTGGTTCCACTATAATATGTGATGAAAAGCAGCGTTATTAGATATAAACTAATCATATATATGACCCAGAAGTAGATGCCAGATATTGCCAAGTGTTCAGGAAATTTTGTCTGCAACTGTACAATATGTCATCAAATAATGTACCCTGAGGGCTATTCCTCCGAGCTCAATCATGCATACTTTGGGCTCCGGCACTCATCCAACAACTGCCTTACTTTGTCAGACCCTTCAGTTTTCCTGATCCCAGAACAACAGTGCCTTTAGACTACCTATGCATGGGCCCTGTTAGTTAAAGTGTTCAGTTCCCGTCTAGTTGCCGAGTTGTGTCTTTCTGCCTATTCGATATCCTATTCCACCCAAGATGATGTATGTGTTCCATCCTCTAGTTTGCCCAATTGACTAGGGGACCAGGACACTCGAGCAGGGGGATGCAATGACTATAATTCTTTGGTGGCCCTCCTTTCGATATTCTAAATCAATATGCAGTCCTTGGCATACCTTGGACACCAAGCAGAATTGCAGTACCCCTGTACAGTACTCCAAGTGAGGCAACAGCTAACTTTTGAAGAAAAATTATGAGAGGTAGACCATCTAAGCATGAATAATGAATGCCTTAAAGCTTAATCTATAAAAATAGTTATTATTGATTAAACTAGGATTCTCTATGGGAAGTCATATGTCATCCATATTAATTATCTCAAATTATGTCTCTTAGTAACTAAGAGAAGAAATAGCTAAGGTTGGCACTGGTGTAATTTATATACGTATTGTATACTGTATACTATACAGCAGGTAGTAGGCAGCTACCAAACAGGGAGGTACTACCGCCTGGGAAGATATTGGAAGCATAATGTGTTGTCTAATGGTAGACCCTGCTGCCATATGGCATAAAAAAAAATTGTGACCAAGTCCCAGGTTGCTGATCTGACTTTCTGACCCATTTACACACAATTGCAGGGTTTCAATTGTTTCTCTTACTATTGACAACACACCTTACTGTACATACAGTAGTGTATATTGTTTCTCACTTTTTATCTTTTTTTCATTTTTTGTATTTCTTTATGGTTTTTTATTATTATTATTATTATTATTATTATTATTATTATTATTATTATTATTATTATTTTATTTTAAATTGTATTTTTTATTGAAAATTTTATGATGAAAAGGGGGGTCCAGACCCCCCCAAGACTCCCCCTGCCAATAGCTACATACATTATCTTAGGGAGGCACTATTAATCAGGCAAACTTTGGCATAAAAAACAAAGATGATGTCATCTCAATCCTTTAGTGTTGAGATAACTTATACAGAATCAAAACAAATCATCACTGTACTATTAGCATCATCATTCAATGTTTTGGTCTTGTTAAAACTAACGTAATTTAGTGGTGGTTTGATTTAATTTGTTGACCAACAGTGGTCTGCTCATTTCAACACTAACAGTGGCATTAAATGTCTTTTTGGCATGACAATCTAACCTCTGAATGTATTAAAAACCTTACCCTAATACAGTACAGCTTATAAATTTGTCATCACAAGAATAAAGCAATAAAATATAAATTAACATTGTATACAGCTTTGCTTATGCAGTACAGTATAATATTTGAAGTTTTATCTCTTAATTATCTTCAGGAAAAAACATGGAAAGAAACAAGAGTGACTTAGATTATGAAGGAGGAACAGAAGGTGATAGTCCTCCAGGACTGCAGGACACACACAGTCTAGACTCTACCTCCTCAGATGGCGTGGCCCTTAGATCACGAACTTCTGTGAGACAACAATTGCAACATTTTCTTCGTTCGACTCGATGTCAGGTAACTTGGGTGGATAACTCTAATCTATAGTTATACATGCTGTAGGAACATACTGGTCTTTAGGGTGGGTTGGTAATTTAAGTTTTTATCATACAGTTTCAGCTTTATCCATTCTTTTATTGTATATTTCCAGTCGTATAATAAGATCTCAAGTTTTTTTTTCTCACTTTTGTTAATGAAATTAACTAAAATGTACAAGCCAAGGTTGATTATGGATGTAATAAAACACAGTGTTGCAGTTTTTTCTATTTTTAGAAATTGTTAAAATCATGTTTTTTTTTTCACTAGCAGTACAAATTTGAGATTCCCATAACCATCATTATTATTAGCCAGTAAATTAAGGCTAGGGATTCGAGTTAAATGGATATTCCCAATATGTAGAAAGGGAATTTGCACATCACAAAATATTCCCTCATTTATGATAATTTTGCTTTTATTAGTAATATCAATCCATTAGTACAGTTCTGTAAGAAAGTAGTAATACGATGATATAAATAATTTGTATTGCTTGTACAGGATGAGAATTATTTATTCCAAATCCTTGGAATCAAATTTGTGTCACAGATTCCATTTTTTTCTTGGATTCCAGTTGTTTTTTCACAGATTCTTTTTTTGGGGGGAGGGGGATCTTTGGGTAAGTGGTAGGTCAGCCAGAAGGGTCCAGGCTGAAGTCTAACTATCAAATGCATTTATACTTTTTAAAGCATTTCAACTGCATATTGAGACATACTGTACAGCCTACAACTAAATGTCTAACCTAGTAAAATTATATCCCACTAAAACAACACATGTTCAATACAACAACACACCAAGTTCACAACAACAACACACCAAGTTCACTACAACAACACACCAAGTTCACAACAACAACACACCTTGTGGACTTGAGTCATTTCTTGACTGAGTGTCAGCAAGGGGATGGCTTCTTCTCTATCTCAAAGGTGCCAAGTGGGAGAAGTTTATCATCTGATGGTGGACTTCTTAAATTTCAATATGGGTACTCATCCATTTATGATTTTTGAAATAGTATTTTATTTTATTTAGATCATAGTTTGACTTATGATTTTCATTTTCAACATCAAATAGCCACAGGCTGCAACTCTAGATATTTTACCCAATTAATTCATCAATCAATCAATCAATCAATCATGTCTGCTCTTTAGTCTGTTAATAGGTTTTATATCAACAGGTGCTTGTTGTTGCTCTGGTGGTGGTGGATACAATGCTGGTCATCACAGAACTATTGCTGGACCTGGAAATGAATGGTACTCCATCATCTGTACCCTTCATTCTGCACACACTCTCCCTCAGTGTTTTGGCACTTTTCATTGTGGAAATAGGACTGAAGATATATGCATATCAGTTTGATTTCTTCACACATAAGGTAATGATGAAGATAAGTCTGTAACTCTTGTGGCCATATGGGACAGCACAATTATGACACACTAACATTGGTGTCTGCTGGAACCTGAATAGGCCATAGATGTTGATCCTACTGACTGATGGCTATACAGGCTTGATTCAGCCAAGGGATGACACTTCCAGGTGTCATATCAACCCTTCACAACCTTAAAAGGGACTTCACTCTATACTGTAATGGTAATTTAGATATTTATATTATAAACTAAAATAGGTAAAGTGAGCCTCAAGTGGACAATGTTCCATGAATAAAAATTTATTTCTCGGAGACACTTCCTAGTAGAAGAAGGTTGATTTAAACATATTTAAAACAAAACAAGAAAAGTGGAAGCACATACAGATCAATAGGTGAAATTTCAAATTTTTTCAGGGAGACGTATTTGATGCCATTGTAGTCATTGTTGCCTTGTGCCTCGATGGCGTTTATCTTCATTCCCATGATGCCCACACTGGAGTCGGCCTCATCATAGTTCTACGGCTGTGGAGAGTTGTTCGAATACAGAATGGTAACTTAAGTTTAAGCTGCTTGTTAAAAAAGATCTTTATATTTACTGTATTTCTAGTCATACTGTAATAGTTCTTAAACTGTATTAAGCAGAGTGGTATTTATATGAATAACTTTCTTGAAATACTGTAGTCCTTGCATATCTTGGAGTGCATTGATTCATGTGCTCTACACTATCTTCCATTTTAGTTTCTTCATATCTTTCATGTATGTACTGTACTGCATTTATGTTCTCCTTATAGTATTCTTGAATTTCCACAGATCCATGCATGCCCAAACTTCTTCTTATTGGTATTATTACATTCCCCAAACTGTGTATTTATTAACCACTTGTGTGGGATCTCCCCACCTTTGATGAATAAAATCGTCTGCCTTTAGCCAAATAAAATGTTAAAAGTGGTGTCCCTGTAGTGAAGGGATTTAGAAGGACTGTACCATAAAAAAATAAAATTTGATGCTGAAACTTATATAATTAATCAATCAAGCATAAAGTTCATCAACTGCAATATAACTTGGCTTACATTTTCATATGTTTTGGTCATAAGTAAACATTGCTATTTAGGTAGTAGGTAGAAAGGCAGCTACCAAACAGGGAGGTACTACCGCCTGGAAAGATATTGGAAGCATAATGTGTTGTCTATAGACCCTGCTGCCATATGGCATCACGAAAATTGTGACCAAGTCCCAGGTTACTGATCTGACTTTGTGCCTCATTTACACACAATTGCAGGGTCTCAATTGTTTCTCTTACTTTGACAACACAACATACATACTGTATATTGTTTCTCACTCTTGATATTTTTTATTTTATTTCTTTATGGTTCTTTATTATTATTATTGCAGTTATTATTGTTGTTATTATTATTATTATTATTATTATTATTATTATTATTATTATTATTATTATTATTATTATTGCAGTGTTGTTATTGTTATCATTATTATTTTATTATTTTATTTTTTTTATACGTATACGTACATGTTTTTTTTTACTTATCTGAATTATTATTATTATTATTATTAAATTTTTGCCCCCCAGGCACCGATGTGGGTCAGTGACCTGTGCCCGGGTGGGCTAATTCCCATAAAAAAAAAAATAATAAAAATTACATTGCTGTATAGCAACCAACAAGATTACTCAATCACAGCACCTTTTAGCCCAGCTTGTCCAGGGGGCTATCTGCTGGATCATTGTAAATTATACAGTACAGTAGTCTATAAACACAACTCCTTCAAGTGAATTAAGTTTTATGAAAGAAGCTTCCATCCCATTCCAGCTGTATTTAAAAAATATTAAGTCAACTGGTACATTAAAAGTGGCATGACACAAGCACTTTTACTGACAATTTTTGTTTTTGGCTAGTACTAGTGGCTGGTTTTGGGGGGCTAGCAGATGGAGTTTCATCTGCCAGCAGTTGATCGCTCCAGCTGACATATGGTCTTGAAATGGCAGCTACCGGCAATTCTCCGAAGCCAAATGAGAACCACTATTTTATTTTATTAAAAGTTCAAAGAATTGTGTAATATAGTATGTATTAGTGTGATGAATAGTTAACATCAGCAGTCCCCGAGTTGCAACAAGTTCCGTTCCTGGGGACATTCTTAAGTTGAAAATGTACGCAAGTCGAAACACATGCTATGTGTACACCGTACTTACAGAACAATGTTTAAATTCCCACTATATCATAGCCTAAATCCTTATATACATCTAAAATCACTTAATTTAAGAGAAATTAAGGAATAAAATGACAAAATACAGTGAATGAAAGTAAAAAATAAGTCATCGGGTAATTAAAATACTGTAAATTTAAAGTTTAACTTTATGGGACCTCGTTTGTATTGGCAGATGTTCGTAAGTTGGATATTCGTAACAGTAATATTCATAAAGAACTCATTATTGTTGATCCTGCAGCTTTATTGAACCAAAAAGTTCATACTGTACCCAATTTTGAATGAAGAAGCCAGGTTCATCTGCCACCAAGAGGGTAATAATTGGGCGATGCAAATAGATTTGGATGACGCAACTTGCTTTATCGGCCAATTAGAGGGTGAGATTTGTCCAACTGTACAGTAATGTGAAAGGGTTTATTCAACAATTTATAATGATCAAACAGGACTGTGTCCTTGCTTCAGAACACACACAGAACTCTTGCCTTTGGCCATAAAATGTAATATTGTACTTCAGTCTGTTATTTTCTGATGACCATGACTGTCTTCAGCAATGGTGTTACAAGTGCAGAGAGCAGGTGAAAAGAGGCTGCTGGAGGAGCAACAGAACAGGTATATGGCTGAGCAGGAAGTTTCCAAGTACCGAACATACAGCTATGCTCAGGACGTCTACATCAAAACTCTCCAAGATCTTCTGAGAAGGAATGGAATCTCTTATCAAGAAGAATGCAGAAACCTTCCAGACATCAACAGGTATTTGTGGGTGTGTATGTGTCTATGGGCAAGAATGGATGAGGGGGGGGAGGGGATGAAAATTATGCAAAAAAAAAAAAGAGAGAGAGAGACTTCAATTACAGTTAACATATTTGTCAACTGAAAAGTTTGGGTCCAAGAAGCTTCTATAAAATAGATAATTATGTAAAGAGGATATTATCATGAACATGTGTGCAAGGCAAGCATGTAATAAAACTTAGTTCAATAATCTCTAAAATTCAGTGTTATTTAGTCGACAAATAAGCTTTCAATGTGCCACCATTCTCCTACAATCACCAAATAACTTACTGCTCAAACTCACATGAAGAAAATTAGACTTTTCACACACACACACACACTCAAACACAAACACACAGTTGCCTGATTTTTCAATTCCTTCTCATTTACTTTCTTGTAATATGTGGAATTTGAATGAACTAGATTTACTATATATTCTCAGATTTTATGTTTAGAATGCTCAAATCTTTTTGTAAAATAGAATATATTATTTCATAAAGTAGATCTTTGGTTGATGTATACCCAGTACTTTAATGTATTAGAAGGATTTATGGGAGTGTAAAGCTAGGATTTCATATATGCTTTTGCAGTGCATTTGCAGTATGCGTTTGCAGTATGTGTTTGCGTTAAATTGCCTTTGAAAATGGACACCCGTTTCCATTTGCAGTTGCCTATTCTGTCTTAGCAGAAACAGGACAGGAAAGATGGCTCCCAGTGCATCAAAGCTATGATGCTATTTATAAAAACAGGAAGATTTGCTATTAATTATCTTGGTTTTGTATAAGACCATGCATAAACCAAAGGGAAAACAGTGAAGGAAACATACTGGTAGAAGGTGAGTGATTAAATTGCTACTGAATCAGTCCAAATTTGGAGGTCTACAATGCTTTGGTAAAAGAGCTAAGCTTGGATGAAAAATAATTCAAAGAATATTTTGCTGGGTGAGGAGAGCATGTGTATGAAACAGGAACTAGTGATGTCACAGTGTGGGATTACTTTGTCTGTTTTCATGAGGTTGCATTTTCAATTGCTACAGGGACCGATTGAAATGTACTGCAAATGCTACCACTAACGCATTCATGCTAATGGAAACAGCAGTGTACATTTCAATATGATCTATTTTTGGCGCTGACACTACCGCTACTGCGTGAATGGAATCCTAGCTAAAGAGTCATGTCAGACATTGCTGACTTTGATTAGTTTAGGTAATGTGTACTTTGTAGGATTTGGAAAAGGAATATTGGAAAAAAATAAAGGTATTTGAAAAATAGGGTGCAGGAGAGAGAGAGAGAGAGAGATAGAGAAGATGGAAGGCTGGAATGAGGTATGTGTTCGATAGGAAGGGGATGGACATTTAGGAAGGAGTAATGTGTGTGAATGACCAGAGAGCATTGCATTAATTTTTTTTTTTTTATGAAAACTGTATTATACCAAGTTATGTGAAGTGAAAAGGATAAACCAGGTAGGTATCTTGGGGCCTTTTGTGGATGTGGAACACCATAACAAAGCACATCAATTTTAGTGGACAGAAAATGAATGGCAGTGAATGAAGGGAGAGACTGTTAGCTCATGATTTCCGTTAGCCTACCTTGTATCATAGGAGGGAAAGGCCAGTAACTGGAAAAAAAAATTATTCAGTTGTTAGTAATCAAGCTTCCCATCCTATGAGAGAGAGGTTCAATTGTGCCAGGAAAGGTTTGTGAGGCATTTATGTACTGTGGTGTGCATTGAGTTGGCCACCTGTCACATTAATGCCTTGGGCTAATCTAACTCGTCTGGGGTTTCCACCCCTTAAATTATGGGAAGCAAAGTTGAGGATATAAGATACATTTTCTTGCTTTCAGTACCTCTCTCATAAGAAGTAGCAATGACAAAAGTTTCCAGGTCACCCAAACACCACATAATTCTTGGCTCTGACATTCACTGTCTTCCCTTCACTACATTGTTCTGCATTTATCTCCCTTGATATATGTTGTCACCCTTTACCCAGTATACCCTCTTTGTTACCCTGCGCTACTGTATGATATATTATGCATTGTTTGTTGTTTTCTAAAAGAATTTCCTGTCCTGTCCTGTCACTTCCTACAACTCACCAGCAAGCATTTACCGGTAATTAAGATCATATTAATTTTAAAGAGTAAGGGAACTGGACATGACGTAGTTAAAATTGAGAGTTTTGGGGAAGAATTGGGATCACAAGAGGGTAAAATTTGTCACATGATTTAGTCTTCTAGATTGGTAGCACAATACAGAACCAGAATGCACTTTTGATAGCAGGTTTGTACTCCTCTGTAGTACAGTATTTGTGGTTAAGAAAGCAGTTCTTAAGAGTTTGAATTGTCCTGAGGGGTAGAGTGCTCATAAACTCAAAACAATTAGTTTTGTTGCTAGTCTATAATACAGGTATCCCTCGCTATATGAATGTTCGAGGTGCTAAAATTCGCTAATACGAATTTCCTAAATTTATCTGATAGTTTTGCTTGCCAAATATTATACAGTATTAATATTCTTTCACCTTATAATTTTGCTGGAAATCTATTTCTCATGTCAAAACTCAGATTTATATGAATTATTTCAGATTCAAAGTTGTGGCTGAGGTGAATACACAGTAAAACAACATCTAGAAAATGAAATTACTTACAAACAAGCCACCAAACTTTGCAAGATTGATTTTGTACAGTACATGTATTGTACACAGTACTGTAGTGTACTGGGTCTAAGAATACAGCATATTTATATATACTGTACTGTAATGAAACTACACATCATGCAGTCTTATCTCAGGAACCTTTTGATCAGTGTTCATTATAATTGGCAGCACATTATTACTACACTGAGACATACTGTATTGTTAAAGATTGTGAGTGTACTAAATCCATTTCTCCTGCAGTGATATCCCCATTAGCCTGAATAATTGGTGCATAACTCTTTCAGGGATTAGAGATTTCCAGGATACGAGACTACTCTCTCAAATCCGGAAAAATCCCACATCCCTGGAATTTTTCCAGGTACAGTACGTACTGGGAAAAGTTTCTCGGAATTATCCAGAAATTCCACATTACTGTATTTCATCTGCGCAATTTGCTCCCAGACCCGGATTTATTTTATTTTATTTTATTTTATTTTATTTTTTCCAAAATTAGGCATTACAGTATTTCATACACTGAATTTGCTCCCAGACCCAGAAAAAAATTGGAGAGAGTTTCCAGAATTTCACAGAATTTTCAGAGATTTTCTGGAATTTTCTAAGAAATTGTGCCTGATTTTCAACCTCTGAAACTCATTCACAAACCTGAAATTGAAAGAATTTTTCCTGAAAAAAATTCCGAGCCAATTTCAATTCAGGGTATTGGAGAGTTCCGGCTAACTGGGATATCTGCTAACGGAGATATTACTTATTTGTAAAACATGCAAACTTGTTAAATTTCTTGTGTTGTGAACAGTGTCTGCATGTGAGCATTTTGATATAAAATGCACTATTTTGCACATAAGTTCATTACATGTACACCATACAAATGTTTGTGTACTGATGTTATGTAAATAGGTAAATTTTACAAGCCTTCTGTGAAGGATATTGCTTGTTAGAACATATTTTTTTCACAGTTTAAGAAGTGCATTTTTAATGTACAGTAAGATCTCATGTTTCGCGCGATTAATTTCACGTTTTTGAATTTCGCGAGCACTACCTAATGTAACCAAGTCTTATATTTGGCATAAAATATCGTGAATTTCGCGAGATCCAGCCAGCTGAACGCGAGATTCAGCAAGCTGAATGCTGGCCACCGTCTTGAATGACATCACAGCCCTCATACCAGTTACAGTCATTTCTGCTACAACACGTGTTTTGTCAACGCGAATTGGTTATAACGCGATTGATGAATAGGGGAACGCTGTTTGTAAAATGCTAACTTTTGCATACGAATGTTGGCTACAGCACAATTCCATCCTCAATGTTTTGATTCTATCCTTAACGTTTTAAGCGTCACGTGGGGTTATGCAGTGTTTACAGTTCACGTTCGACATCACTTGTTCAATTAATTCGTGTCTTTTGTTTGTGAAGTGTTTTTTGGGAGGTATTCTGTAAATTTCGTTTTTTTTTTTTTTTTTGCAAATTTAGCTGCTTCCCATAAATACTGTATGAAAAGAATAAGTAAAAAGAATGTTTCGCAATGAGGACTAATAAGGGTTTCCATCACGTGATCAGTTGAATCGCGCAGTTTTGTCGATTGCTCCATGATTTTTGCTCTTTTCTCCAATTTTGTTGTGTTGGCGATGAATGTGGAAAGACAAGGTAAGAAGAATGTTTCCAAGAAGCGTCCTGGTGATCGAAATGCTGGTGGTGAACATAAAAGAGGTTTACAAGAACGCAACTATCGCGTTGTAACCCACGCCATCCTAGCGACCGCCCGGGCTGCTATTGTGTGCTTTTTTGGGTGGTGCTACCACCTGTCAAGTCAAGATAATGGCCTCTACCTCTACTGGGGGTCCTACTGGTGCTGGTGGGGGTGGGACAGACCCACCTAAGTGGCCGAATAAGGAAAAGGAGAAGTGAGACTATCATAAGGGAGTTAAGTTTGCCAAGTACTCGATGCAGGATAAGCAGCGTGTGATTAAGTTACTTGAAGGCCTAAAAACTAGTTTCCGGAAAGCACAATCAGGTCAATAAAGGCAGAATTTGTATCATTTGGAGGTTGTAAATGGGAAAATCAGAGGTTGATGTAGAGTGGCCAGTCTATATTGTTATTTTTCCCATTAGTTTATGTATTTGCAATTGGCGAATATGAGTTTGGCGCAAATTTTCCAGTCTATATTACTCGCGAAATACAAGATCTTACTGTAGTCAAAACATACTTTATTCTTTACTAAGACTAAAACAACTGAACTACATTTATTATTAAGGTGTGGGGTATGAGTTCATGAGGATACAGTTTTTGGAACTAGCAGGATTTTTTTTTTTTTTTTTTTTAGAATATAAATTACCTGGTATATATCTTTCTGATTGTTGATGGTGTTTCTTCAGCAAACCCATAGCAGTATAATGCTGGGTTGTGTTCTGACTATCACAAATACTAAAAAAAAAAAAAAAAAAAATTAGTTAAAGTTTGAAGTTTTCTTTCTTGTAGAATTGTATGAATAATAAAAGGGCCAAATGATTAGAGAAACACTGATGGACACTGCACTGGCTACTTTACATTGTAAACATGTAGTGCACACCATTTTAACACTGCACACTTAATGTGATAAAAACGCAGTGTATATGTACAAATCTTATGTAGTATCACAATGTTACTGTGACTACTGTGTCATGAATAATGTGGCAAAATAAGTCATCAACAAGCTCAGGCAGAGGGCACTTAGTCCAAGATATGATACAGCATAAGAACTCACTGAGGTATAAGAATGCAGATACTACGCTGAATATCAGCCAGTAAAGTAAATTATTTGATCAATAAATATATACACAAGACCAAACCCATTGGCTCCAGGAATACAAGGAGACCATTACACATAAACGAAACCATGCAGTGGTTGACAAAATTGAGAAAAACTCTCAAATTATAGACATGGGTTAGGATAAATAATGAGCATGACATGATGATGTATGCCAGGTCCAGGAACCAAGCAAAGTCAGAGTGTAAGGGCTGAAAAAGAGTTTCAGAGGTGGACTGCAAGCAAGGTTAATTCAAACCCAAAAGCCCTTTACCACTATGCAAAATCGAAATTAAAAATGTGTGTAGGGGTATCATATCTGAGGCTTGCAGATGGTAATTACGCAGATTCAGATCGGAACAAGGTTGAGGTGTTAAGCAAATTTTTTTCCCCCGTGTTTACAAGAGAGGATGCAAACAATCTTCTTGTTTTTGAGGAAAGATGGTGACACAGCACTGACTCACATTTTGTTCTCAGAAGAGAGTATAAGAAATAAATAGTCAAAGCTAAAGATTCACAAGAGTCGTCGCCTTGACATGATGCATCCCAGAGTGCAAAGAGAATTGTGCAATGAGCTTGCTGAGCCCCTTAGGATCCTGTTCTGAAATGCCTGGATGAGCAAAAGGTCCCCAGTGACTGGAAATTGGCTATGTGAGTCCTATATTCAAGCAGTGTGATCATCACTTCATAAATAATTATAGACCAGTGAACCTAACCAGCATAGTGCATAAAGTACTAGAGAGCATTATTAGAGATGCCATGATGTAACAACTTTGCAACAGACTGCCAACATGGTTTTATGCTGGGACATTCATGATTGACACAATTACTCAAGGTGCTGGATGTTTGGACTCAAATTCTGAAATAGGTTGGTAATATCTGGATTTTGCCAAGGCTTTTGACAGCGTACCCCATGAATGGCTGAGAATTAAACTGGATGGATATGGGATTCGGATAAGTGGTCTAGCGTGGATCGGAGAATTCCTTCATGACTGCAAGCAGTGTGTGGTGATTAATGGTACAAAATCGTCATGTGTACCTGTGACAAGTGGGGTACCACAGTGCAGTGTACTGGGCCCATTGTTGTTTGTTTGTTTCATAAATGACTTGTCAGAAGCTATACACTTATCCATACAAATGTTATTCATGGAAATTAAAATCCAAACAGACTGTGTAAAGAGATACAGAAAGATCTCTGTCAGCTTCAAAAGTAAGGAGACATATCACATGTCCCAAAGGAATAAAGAAACATCTTTAAAAGAGACCAAATGTGAAAAGGACCTTAGTGTGTATGTTTGACATTGAACTGAAGTTCTTGGGCTATTGTGAGAAGAAGGTAAATCAAGCAACTAAACTAGTAAGTCATAACAAGGTCATTCAGATATTTAGACAGTCCGTCCCTCGAAATGCTCTTCAAGAGTGAGATTCTCCCCTGTCTGGAGTACTGTCACCCTGTCTGGTCTCTGAGATATGCTAGAGACTGTCAGTTGATTGAAAATCTCTAAAGGAGGGCCATCAGACTGGTGCCTTCACTAAGGCACCTCAGCTACTCAGAGACTAGAATGCCTGCAACTGCATATCATATATTATAGATAGGCAAGGGGTGACTTAATTGAAGCTTATAAACATCTCAGAGGGCACTACTCAATCAAGTTTCCATACCTGGAGCTGGCGGACGCCTGCCCCATAAGGGGTCACAGCTCAAGGTTGAAGAAGATACAAGTCCGGAAAACTGAGGGTAAACTTTTTCAGAGTGAGAATTGTAAACTCTTGGGACAATCTGCTGGAGAGTGTTATGATGGCACCCGAGCATGAGCTCTTTCAAGGCCAGGCTTGACCAACACTGGTGCAGGTACAGATACATTCAGGAGCTAGTATATGTCCAGTACTTGCCAACAGTGCATAACAGAGATTGACCAACCACCCAAGCAACTAATGTGCCAATCAGTGGCGAAGAGGATAAAAGTAATTAGAGCATAGCATCTTTATACTGTACCATGGTTTCCTCTCCACACTGCTAGCACCAAATCAAATGTGTTGGGATGAAGGCTGTATTGAACAAAATGTCCTCTGAGCAGGACTGGCTTGCTTGAAACTGCTCTACAAATACCAAACAAAGAAATATCCTCTTATCCAGAGTAGCTTATATCACAAGTCTCTACCGTAATACCAAAAGTGCCCTTTAGATGTTCAAAATCATTGTTTCCTGACTGTATAGGAAAATATTTCAAATGTATTATTTAGGGCAAGATTGGAAGTAAGTGCCTTCAAGAATATACACCATTAGCTATTCATGATATTGTCTTAGTTTGTTTAAGTTACATTAAATATGATTTTCACTTGTACAAATTCTACCTCTATCTTGATCAAATGTGTTTTTATTCTTCAAACCAAGATTTTTCAAATGGTTTGACAGTACTAACATATTTTTTAGCATTTAATTACTAGTGTATGGTGCTCCAGTGTTGATATTTAGTAATTGTTAAGAGATTTGTATAATTAATGTTTCTGACCAGTTAGGTGCTTTCCTTTTTTTTTGGGGGGGGGGTTTCTCTAATAATATTCAGCAAATACTAGACATTACATATTTTTAGACACTGATTTGAACCTTACATACAGCCATACTCCTCCTCTTGTACACCCTGACCCTGGTCCATACATATACTATTCTTATAAACATACAGTACTCCCTCTCTTGTGATGCCTGACACTGGCACATACTGTACTATTCACACAGACACTTCTTCCCTTGTATATCAGTGAATTGAAGTCTATAGTGCATGACATTTTCATGACCATTTCAGTGTATGTTGGGGGGGTGGTAAATTTTAAATCTGCAAATGTACATATATTTGTACAAGTAAACCTAGATACAGTCATTCCTCGACTTACCACTGGGTTAGGGACCAACGACCAGGTCGTAAGTCGAATTGGTCTTAAGTCGATAATGCGAAAATAATACATAGAAAATCTAAAATGGGTGTCTTTTTTTTCTTCTCAGCATAACGAGAACTCTCACTTTTACGCTTTCCAGCCAATTTAAAGGGAATTACAAACGAAAATTTTGTCAGTACACAGCGCGATCACTAACGTTGGGACTCGAAAATACGTAATTTGAAAAATATTTTATACGACTGCGGCGGTTGTATGCCCGGGTGATCGTAAGTCGAGTAGATTGTAAGTCGAGGAGTACCTGTATAATACAAGCAGTACAAAAATACATATTGAACTGCCTAGTTTCTTGGGGAAAACTAAATCTTTATACAGTCAACCCTCACTTTACGCGGTTAATTCAACCCACAGGGTACCGCGGAAAGTGAGAAACGCGTAAAGTGAACAATATCACATATGGGATTAATTGA